AGATTTTTAGTCAGTTCTTTTTTCTCAAAAATTAAACTCCAGTGATCAGATATTGAGCTTTTTGAACAATGATAAGTTTAAGGCTGGAGCGTTTTGCTTGGAGTTACTTGGCCATACGTTGGGCACATGAACCTACCAAGGAGTATTGTTGTTTCCTGCAGTTCCTAAACAATGAACTTAGCTGTAAGCACAACAAATGGCTTTCAGTCCCATATCAGTCCTGTGAGAGCTTGCTGTGCATAGATGCAGTGAGTGTATAAAAAGGACTGTTTTTTTCCTGGTTTCATTCACCATTCCTCTTGCACATGCTGCTGTCGTTGGTGTCTTGGTTCTGGCTGCAGTATTTAACTCTACCAGTTGCAGATGCAGGAATCCTTTTTCTGAAATACCTGGATGATCTAGAGCTCTGTCAATAAATTTGTTTCTTGAGGGTTCATTCCCAAATCCACTGTTTGCATATTGGCAGCGACTGTGTCGATGGACTATGTGAGGCACTTGGTTATCATCCCTTTGGAAGAAAAAAAACACATCGGGTCTTGTGATAAATGTCTGTCTTTGGGAACCACATTAGCTTTGCTTCTTCTAGGTCCCAGCAGTGCTCTTGCAGACTTCATGGATAAATAGAACAGAATAAAGATGTTGAATAGCTCCTGCTACAGTCAGTTTTCAACTTGGTGTTCCAGCTGGTGTTTGTCACGTTTGTTTGCTACAAACAAGGGGATACTGAATAATTAGACTTTTGCCAACATGGCAGAACGCCTCCTTTCTTTGTCTCAAGACATTTTTTTTTATTCCTCTGAATTCAGAATAGCCAAAAAATGTTGGCTAGGTCTTTCATAATCACAGTTCATTCTGCAAGTATGAGAAAGGTCTGATAATTTAACAGTTGTTTTGTTTTTGTTTTTAATTGTTCCAACTGCCTTATACCTTCTGGCTTAATTGGGCAGTGCTGTCAGCCTGTTCCTTTGCAACTGTAGTAAAGCTTATACGAAATAGATAATTCAAATTAAAAAATGTTTCCAAAATTAAAAAAAAACCCCAAACCTACCAATTGTAGGTATATGAATCTCTTGTGTTTCTGAGGCATGTATGGCTGGCATTTTTCTGCAGTATTCCAGTTTGTTGCAGATCAGTGTGTTTCAGTACAGTGTTAATTTTTCTTTCCATCTTGAAATTTCTTAGGAGTCTTATTTGTATCTGTCTTCCATGTAGTAATTTATCATTTTGCTCTGGCTACTATTACTTTCCTAATGGTTAGTTGCTTTAAAGGAACTATGACGATAAACATGAAGTGGTTCTTTGAATTCCTGTCAGAATGATCTGTGTGCTCTTAACTTCTAGGTACAGTTTCTGGTAGCTGAGCTTGGTGGAGGACATTGGGTGCAGTGTACTCTAAGCTCATAACTATAGACATCTTCTACATGTCTTTCTAGAGCGACAAAATGGTGATGAAATCGACTCCAAATTAATTTCATCAGGTTGTTTCGGGATTCTCCTTGAAGCAATTAGGCACTTTGTTGTCTTCCCCCAGCAGGGATCGACACCCTAAGAGGAAGGGCTGTGGGCCTGGAAGGCTTACAGAGCCATTCTTGGCTACCTCCTCTGGTCTAAGCCATTTGTTGCTTGGCTCTTTTCAGCCAAACTACTGCAGAGTGGTGGAAGTGGATCAGAGAATGCACATGCAGCAGTGAACGGCTGCTTGGACTGCTGAGTCTCTGTCCTCTCACAGGCACGAATTATATTGTCTCTCAGAAAAGTCTAAATGGGGAAGTTACTTCATCTAAATTATGAACTAACTCGTCAACTTCTGCTGTGCCTTGTGTGCTCTAGGTGTTTTGGATACTAAATTCAGGAGACTGGTACTTCAGTGATGTCCTGAATTTTGTTAAAATGCCTTATGCTTCTTGTTGAAGGAGGGCATTACCTTGCTGGTCATCTCTGGGGGAAGGGGCGAAGGGATCTAGCTTTTCAGTTAACTTCTTACCCCATGAGGACTGAGGTTCCTTTTGAGTTATTGTCAGTGAGGACCTGTAACCTGTTCTCTGTGGTTCTTTTGTGCTACCAACTTACTGGCTTAAGAATAATGTTACGTGTGGGTCATGTCTATTTTGGCCTTCATGCCTTTTACAGGATTTTTTGAGGAGGCAACAAGAGTATGTGCAGTTCTCCTTAGTTAGCAATTCAAAATGTGCAAAGTATGTGTGTGCCTCCAGGTAGGACCTCTATTGACTGTGACATGGAGTTACTCTGGAGATAGACCCACAGCCACGTTGCAGACCATCAGTAGATTGTGGTAGCTCATGGTGTGCACAACCCTTACTTGAACTTACACGGAGCAGTTTGGGGTTGAATTTGAACTAGTCTGTATTTGTGGAGATTCTTTTTTCTCAAAAATTAAACTCCAGTGATCAGATATTGAGCTTTTTGAACAATGATAAGTTTAAGGCTGGAGCGTTTTGCTTGGAGTTACTTGGCCATACGTTGGGCACATGAACCTACCAAGGAGTATTGTTGTTTCCTGCAGTTCCTAAACAATGAACTTAGCTGTAAGCACAACAAATGGCTTTCAGTCCCATATCAGTCCTGTGAGAGCTTGCTGTGCATAGATGCAGTGAGTGTATAAAAAGGACTGTTTTTTTCCTGGTTTCATTCACCATTCCTCTTGCACATGCTGCTGTCGTTGGTGTCTTGGTTCTGGCTGCAGTATTTAACTCTACCAGTTGCAGATGCAGGAATCCTTTTTCTGAAATACCTGGATGATCTAGAGCTCTGTCAATAAATTTGTTTCTTGAGGGTTCATTCCCAAATCCACTGTTTGCATATTGGCAGCGACTGTGTTGAAGGACTATGTGAACAAGCCGGGTGAGGCACTTGGTTATCATCCCTTTGGAAGGAAAAAACAACATCGGGTCTTGTGATAAATGTCTGTCTTTGGGAACAACATTAGCTTTACTTCTTCTAGGTCCCAGCAGTGCTCTTGCAGACTTCATGGATAAATAGAACAGAATAAAGATGTTGAATAGCTCCTGCTACAGTCAGTTTTCAACTTGGTGTTCCAGCTGGTGTTTGTCACGTTTGTTTGCTACAAACAAGGGGATACTGAATAATTAGACTTTTGCCAACATGGCAGAACGCCTCCTTTCTTTGTCTCAAGACATTTTTTTTTATTCCTCTGAATTCAGAATAGCCAAAAAATGTTGGCTAGGTCTTTCATAATCACAGTTCATTCTGCAAGTATGAGAAAGGTCTGATAATTTAACAGTTGTTTTGTTTTTGTTTTTAATTGTTCCAACTGCCTTATACCTTCTGGCTTAATTGGGCAGTGCTGTCAGCCTGTTCCTTTGCAACTGTAGTAAAGCTTATACGAAATAGATAATTCAAATTAAAAAATGTTTCCAAAATTAAAAAAAAACCCCAAACCTACCAATTGTAGGTATATGAATCTTTGTGTTTCTGAGGCATGTATGGCTGGCATTTTTCTGCAGTATTCCAGTTTGTTGCAGATCAGTGTGTTTCAGTACAGTGTTAATTTTTCTTTCCATCTTGAAATTTCTTAGGAGTCTTATTTGTATCTGTCTTCCATGTAGTAATTTATCATTTTGCTCTGGCTACTATTACTTTCCTAATGGTTAGTTGCTTTAAAGGAACTATGACGATAAACATGAAGTGGTTCTTTGAATTCCTGTCAGAATGATCTGTGTGCTCTTAACTTCTAGGTACAGTTTCTGGTAGCTGAGCTTGGTGGAGGACATTGGGTGCAGTGTACTCTAAGCTCATAACTATAGACATCTTCTACATGTCTTTCTAGAGCGACAAAATGGTGATGAAATCGACTCCAAATTAATTTCATCAGGTTGTTTCGGGATTCTCCTTGAAGCAATTAGGCACTTTGTTGTCTTCCCCCAGCAGGGATCGACACCCTAAGAGGAAGGGCTGTGGGCCTGGAAGGCTTACAGAGCCATTCTTGGCTACCTCCTCTGGTCTAAGCCATTTGTTGCTTGGCTCTTTTCAGCCAAACTACTGCAGAGTGGTGGAAGTGGATCAGAGAATGCACATGCAGCAGTGAACGGCTGCTTGGACTGCTGAGTCTCTGTCCTCTCACAGGCACGAATTATATTGTCTCTCAGAAAAGTCTAAATGGGGAAGTTACTTCATCTAAATTATGAACTAACTCGTCAACTTCTGCTGTGCCTTGTGTGCTCTAGGTGTTTTGGATACTAAATTCAGGAGACTGGTACTTCAGTGATGTCCTGAATTTTGTTAAAATGCCTTATGCTTCTTGTTGAAGGAGGGCATTACCTTGCTGGTCATCTCTGGGGGAAGGGGCGAAGGGATCTAGCTTTTCAGTTAACTTCTTACCCCATGAGGACTGAGGTTCCTTTTGAGTTATTGTCAGTGAGGACCTGTAACCTGTTCTCTGTGGTTCTTTTGTGCTACCAACTTACTGGCTTAAGAATAATGTTACGTGTGGGTCATGTCTATCTTGGCCTTCATGCCTTTTACAGGATTTTTTGAGGAGGCAACAAGAGTATGTGCAGTTCTCCTTAGTTAGCAATTCAAAATGTGCAAAGTATGTGTGTGCCTCCAGGTAGGACCTCTATTGACTGTGACATGGAGTTACTCTGGAGATAGACCCACAGCCACGTTGCAGACCATCAGTAGATTGTGGTAGCTCATGGTGTGCACAACCCTTACTTGAACTTACACGGAGCAGTTTGGGGTTGAATTTGAACTAGTCTGTATTTGTGATAGGAAAAGTTTGTGTGTGTGGATAACTGTTAGGAATCAGCTGAAGTGTGACAGACTGAGCAAACACAGTGTGTAGGTTCAGTGATTCTTACTCCATTAAGCAGAGTCCCAAATGAGTGGGTTTGAGGGCAGAATGTTGGATACACTGATTCATGAAAGGAGAAACGTTGCTGTTTATAGTGGCTGTTGACTAAAAGATTGCCTTTTAAAACAATGATGAATTAATCACTTGTTTCTCTTTCTTTTTTAAGTATGTATAGAAAATATGATTCGACTAGAATAAAAGCAGAGGAAGAAGTTTTTTCAAGTAAGAGATGCTTAGAATGGTTCTATGAATATGCAGGTAAGGGTGAAATGCAACTTTCCTTCTAATAACAATGTAGTCTATATTGAAATATAAAATTGCGCTAACTGAGCTTTTCCAAGCCTGAATATAGAGGCTTTTTTTGTAAAAGTCTTAAAGAAGCTTTTCTTGCGCTCTGTGTAGCATAAAGTTCAAGAGTTCAAGGGGCAATTTTGTCTTTGTCTCTATTCTATAAAAAGAATACAGAAGGTGTGTAACTTGAAATATTTTGGAACATGTATACTTTACTATTTAGATCTACAGTTAAAGCTGTAATTCTGTCCAAAATGTTGTTACCTTCTGTCATCTGCTACATTAGTGCTGAATATTACAGAATTATGCTTCAGGAGAAGTGTATCTTAAATTAAAAAAAAACACAAAACAAAACAAAAAAAAGGTGAGGGAGGGAGTAACATTAGTTTTGTTTGTGCTGAACCTGGTGTTTATGGTTTCAAGCAAGTGAATAAGTTCCAGTGTCCGATACTAGTCTTCTCTTTATATAATTTTCTATCACAAGGCATAGGGAAGGTAGACTGAACTATTTATTCTGGCCCTTGTATATGAGAACTTTCTTCAGACATTACTTCTAGCAGTGTTAATCTGCCATCACTAAAGACGATCTTTTAAGAGTGGAGTTGGTCAAACTCATTTTTTTACACATGATTTTCTGAAGGGGAGAACTGGGGAAAAATGATCTCATGGCTGTCAAGACCAAAAGGAAATTAAATAGGTGATTGATAAAGAAAATAGGGTCATCTTGCAGTTTTCTGATGCTGTCTTAGATAGTGTTGCTCACAGCTTGTCATGTTTTGTCTACTTCTTAAGCACAATGAAGAGTGACATAATTTGATGTAATAAATATGTTTTTTTCTTCTAGTGAAATTATATAAACTAAATTAAATACTTTGAGATTTCACCTGTCTGTGGGAGTCTGTGACAGGAGATTCAGGCAAATTCAAGCCAAATCTAACCTGTTAGATTCTCTGCTTTTCTGACCAGCTTGATTTATTTTTTTACTCTAGCAACAGGGATAACTCATTTTTGTCAAGACTTTCATGGAAAGAAGGGATGAAAGGAAGGCTGTATATGAAAGAACTTTTGAGTTTCCATTGGATGCATACACCAAGATAAAACAGAGAAAAGCGGAGAGTATGATTCTGTTTACAGTATTGAGTAACATTCTGAAAAAATGAATTTTCAAATAATAATCTCTTTCGTGTTCTTGTTTCATGAGTCTTCTTTATATATGCAGACAGTTGTGACTCATTTGGTTTTTCCCCCTAGTGTGTCTTTACATTACAGAATGAGTCTTTCTCAAGATTGTTGTGTACACTCAGAACCGTGAGACGATGTCATGAGAAGATGGGAAAAGATATAATTAAACCTTGTTATGTCTAGAATAGTAGGTCACCTAATAATAAAACATAGATTGATCTTCCCTTTACAAAACTTTTTTCTTGAATATGTGATCTTTATATGGGATGAAAGTAGGCATTTCAGCCTCTAATGTTTTTTTTCCAAATTACCTCTTTCAAACATGAGTAAAATAATTCTAACAAAATAGTCCAAATACTTAAAATGTACTTAAAAAATAGAATTGCACAGTACAGTTCTTGAGACCTATGCAGTTTTTTGCAATAGAGTATTGTAGAAGTTACAAATATCTTGATTTAACATCATGTTTTACTAGTAGTGCGTTTTAATAACATCTCTATTTTGAATCTTCTTTTGCTTTTAAGTCAGCAAAGAAATACCACATAAAACTGTGGTGGTCCTTTGATAACAGTAGAGATTCAAGCCAAGAAATTACACTCACTGTCCATCATCCAGTCATTTAACCATGGTAATATTATGTGGGTGTTTTGCTAGTCTAAAATGCATTCCTAAAGATCTTATTAGTTTACTCTTCTGAGATTATTTCAGTAAATGAGTATAATAAAGGAAATTGTCAGGAATAAAAGGTTGTTTTACAGTTTTTCTGTTTCCAAAGGTGAAGTAAAGATTTAAGTGTATCCAAGTCTGATGGAAATATTTATTGCGTGCTAAAACAAATCAAAAAAATCCCATATGGAAGTTCAGGTTGTACTGTGTGATTGCATTGCTCTTGTGCTGTAAAGGTTGGACTATTTTAATTTTCAGAGACGAGTAAAATGCGTTTTGTTTGCAGGCACCGATGATATTGTAGGGCCAGAAGGAATGGAGAAATTTTGTGAAGACATTGGAGTTGAACCAGAAAATGTAAGTTCAAAGTCCATTCAAAAGGTGCCTAATCTGTTATGATGTACATGAGCCAGTCTTATATCTCTTATTTTTCCATCAAGAATTAAAAAATTCTTGGGAGTTTTTTTAAAAATCAGGGAGGTTTATGTAGACCTTTGGAAACAGCTTACCTTTATTTTAAGCCACAAACTGTTAGCCTGTAAAAGCTCGATTTGTCTTTGCTGCCACCCCTTCTCCTTCACTTCCCACCTCCTAACCCCCCAAAAAGAAAGATTTAAAAAAATTTCAAAAAGCAGCTGATTGTTGTCTTGTCTGAAACAATGAGACAACACTGGAGATTTGAAGTAGCAGCTACAAAACTACAAAGTAGTGTTTTCTTTGGGTTTTCTAGAAGAGAAAGGGATTTCAAGTATTGTGAGCAATATTAGCACTCCCATTATGCCATTTCAAAACACAAATAAAGAATATATATAATTACATACATATATTTTATATGGACGTATATAGAGAAGTAAATAAAATTTAAAAAGGAATAGTTGTGCCTTTTACAGACTTTTTCCTAGTGCCCAATTTTTGCTCTTTAAATGTATATGCAAGTCCCATCTTTTTCAGGATTCATAAAGCCTCATCTCTCACTAAGTAAAATGAGAATTGTGGTTTTGAAAGATTTACTGGAAATATATGGTGTAGTTTGCTAATTTTGGAGTTTATGACTGTAATAAACTCTTGAGATTTATGCAGACATTTGGGTGTATAAGTAGGTACTCTGATTAGCTGCTCTAACATTAGCAAGTTAATGGCTGAGTTGCAAATTTAAATGACTTGATTATTTTTTATTTCTAGTCTGCAGGGTCAGTCTACTAGTCAGCAGGTCGGTCCTGCAAGTTTTTCCATGTATATGTCAAAAGTGGTTTCTTAAGTTCCTGAATAAGATAGTGATCTTATGGTATCACTTTATTTAAATATACCTTATTACTTCAGTCTCCTGTGTGAGATGTGAAAAGGACTCTGTTTCCTTTGGGGGAAAAATGAAGTATTTATGTATCAGCCTCTGTTTTGATGACTGTTAATGTTAGTTCACCTGCCTTTACTTGACATCTAGAATTATACATGCATGTTCAGACCTGCAAAATTAGGCAGGCTGGTGGTCCCCTGGGGTAGCAGGATTCAGGTGGGATCGCCGTTAGCTTTAGAACACTTGGATTTCATGGACCTCAGGGATTGCAACTGATGTTCAACTGGACGAGAGTTTAACAAATGCCAAATGTAACTTGTCATCAAATTGGTACTTAAATTATGTAGTTGTGTTGGGAAACTTTTTCTGTATTTTCTGTAGCTTCTGCACCAACTCATCTTTCTGATTGCACTGCTCACTAAGTGACTGTGCACGCTCATGTGAAGTAAGGTGGCTCCTGGTAACTGGGGTGGGTGTCCACTCTGTCTTTGCATGTCCTTATCTTCTCTTTGTTTGCATTATGGACAGGTTTGTCGCTTTCAGGTTTTTTGACTTTTAAAATAGTGTAGCAAAGATCTGAACGTCCTGTTTATATGAGTAAAGCATTTATAGCCTACTAAACAGTAGTTATTTGAAAACTGTGGATCTTTTTTGCAGTCTTAATTTTTTTTCTTGCTTTTTGAAACAGGTAGTTATGCTTGTACTAGCGTGGAAGTTGGATGCACAAAACATGGGCTACTTTACGTTACAAGAATGGTTAAAAGGAATGACATCACTACAGTAAGTGCTTTGAAACACCTCTTAAGTTGTTACAGTAAACCCAGATTTTTAGAAAAAACACAATTTGATGTTTGGACTCAGAACACCGAAAGCAGACAGCTCTACAATGGAGTAGAAGCCATACATTTTTGGTCCTATTTATGGTGATACAGCCACTTAGGGATAACTTGAAACCTGACAGCTACATGTTTAAATAGAATTGGATTAAAATGTCTGCAGTCGCGAGAAAACAGAAATGTCATGAAGTTTGACATTTGTTTCTGTCTCCCAGGATGTGTATCTATTAGATATTGGTATGTTGTAGTTTAAGATACCAAATAATACAAACCCTTTCTGTGACTCCGCATTGCTACGTTCTTCCTAAGAGTTGCTTTCTCCAGTTGAGAGCTTATCTTCATGGCATAATTAACATAAATGTGATGGAATAATCATGTTTCAGAGAGAGTTGGAGACAGAACTGTGTTTTGACTTATCTTCCAGAACAGAATCAGTAATCACTAAAGCATCTGCAGAAAGTTCTATAGTTTCAGCAAAACTATAGAAGTATTGTTTCACTGCTGTGGCTTGCTGGTTGTTTGCCATGTGTAGACAAGCTCTCGGTTTAATCTGTTGGAGAGTGCATTTTCAACAAAGCCAAACACATTTTTATCAGATTACCAGCATAAGACTGCTATTTTATCTAAATCCATTTCACATTGTGGGTTTAATCAAGGCATTTTATGCAGACAAACTCATAAACATGCCTTTGTACAGAGTGATGTATTTTGTATTTTTGATGAGGATACATGTTAGAGATTCTTTTCTAAAACATCAGACATCTGTATAAGAATGCAGACTCTAAATTAACTTTGTGTTTTCTTGTAGGTGTGATACTACAGAAAAATTGAGGAATTCTCTGGATTACTTGAGATCTTTATTAAATGAGCCTACCAATTTTAAACTTATTTATAGATATGCATTTGACTTTGCACGGGTAAGTACTGTGGAAAACCAGCTTCTGAAATTAAAAACTTATTTTCATAAGTAATAACTGAAAGACTGTGTACTTCTAAGTATGTTTCTCTTCAGATACCACTAAAGTTTGCTTCTACCAAATGGAACTGTTTGTGCTCTAAAAAGATATATGCAGAATGCCAGAACTGGGAAAGAAAAGTGTACAGGATGCTTGATGTTCAGTGGTTGAGTGTTTTGCCATGTTTTGTTGCCTCTGCTTCAAGCTATTTTGTGACTTCTTTGAAGTCATTTAGGCCCTATTCTGTTGCATATTGGAGTTTTGCCACTTACTTCCACTGGCTTTATAATTTCCCTGGTTTTTGTTCTTGCTGTTCGAATTTTGTGAGCATAAACATATCTAAAACAGGAAGGCAATTCAGGCATTTCTGCAGATGGTAAAAATAACTAAGATGATAAAAGCTGGATATGATAGAATACAAATACTGGTTCAGATGGTTCTTGGAAGGTCATTAACGGTGTTCTCAGTATTTGTTAGACAATATGCTGATATCAGGCTTCCTACTATAAAATACATATTGATAAAATTGTACCTGGCATTGGAACCCCTAGTATGCATAAGACTATTCCTACTTCAAGGAAGCAATAAAAGAACATGAATTTTCTGAATTAACATTTTGACATGGAGTTTGGACATCCATCTAGCTACGTACAGAAGATTTAACATAAAAATGACCACAAGCAAAACTGAACCTCAGATTTCAGCACAGGAGAACCAAAAGCACCGAGAAAATTTGCAGAAAAAAAATATAACATGAGGAAAATAATAATAAGAAATGGAACTGATGGCAATTCTGATACTGAAATTTGTCATAAGTAACTCAGATTTATAGTAGATCAGTGCTTTCTGTGTGTCAGCGTGCAGAGACATTCGCAGTAGTTCATTTTTAATCAAGGAAGCCTACAGCTGAATATAACAATGCAAGGTATTGGTATGAGAGGGGAAACAAACCCTGTCAACATCTGAATTCCTCCTTTGCTTTGTGAAGATTTATTCTGCCAGTTTTGCTCAGTGTAAAATGCAAGGGCTGGGAATAAGTAACATTGCCGAAGAAGTTGAAGATACTGATGAAATATTTGGAATAGACTAAAAAAATGTTTTATTAGTAGCAAATCTGTGCCAGCCGATGGCCTGTCAAAAGTAAGTGCAGAAACGTAAAAATAAGGTACTGGGTGGAGTTTTTTTCAAGAGTTACCAAATTGTTGTGACAAACTGGGGTCTTGAAAGAGAATTTAAACATTGAGATGCAGATACTGTGATGTCACTTGTGACAAAAAAACCCTCAGATTGTAGAACTGCAAGTCAAAGGCACATCAACAGGGGAATTGTCAAAGCAATGTTAGATTAATAGAATTATTGAACTTTTAATGCTGTGGAGCCAGGGGGAGTCCACAGGAGAATGGCATCCTAAGTAAGAGTGGAATGAATGCTGGCAAAGGCTGATTTATCTGGATGTGGCAGGTGAATATGTATGTAATTTTTATCAGAAAAATAATGAAGTTATTTATAGAAAAAACCTGATGGGAGCATTTTTGGGGTTTTGATTCAGAAGATTGTGTAATTTTCATCTTAAGGGTAGTCGTTTCAGGGAACTGCACCATGGCAAAAAACACTTGTCTGGACTTCTGAGGTTTTAAGGGAGAATTTTTGAAAACGTCTGTTGTGATTTGGTATTTAGGGTTAGTTTGTCAATAAAAATTAAGTATCATTGAGGTTTTATGCAGCATGTGCTATGTAAGTCAGCATGGATTTGAGGACATGATTTAAAACACCATATGTTGGTATTAAGCACAAGCACGTTCCTCACTCCCTGTTTGCCATTGTCCTTGCCAAGTTTGAGAACATACAGATGCAGGTATTTCATGGCTTAAATAAGTCTGAAATATTGGGGAAAAAATCTCAGAATAGACTGTCTGTCATCCATGTAAAACAAATAATGAAATTTATCAGAGTTTGTTAATATGTTCTTTTCACTGTATCCAAGAAGGAGAGAATTTGAGTATCTGGAATGTATGTTAAGAATGAAATTGGAGCATCTGTCATGGCAGATGTGCCATTAGGCAGTTGGTATAAAGGGCTTATCTGAATAGTTTGTTTTCAACCGTGGTTGGAGAGGGAGGATGTAGAAACTTGTAAAAGCAGCACGGCCAAAGTAAAGGCAACAGAGCCTGATTTCATTAACACTTCAGTGTGTGTGGAGAATTCAGAGTACAAAAAGTATGGAAAATAAAATGTATTCTCACAGCGGTATGATTCCTGCTTAAAGGTGTTTGTGACAGAGGTGTAAATGAGCTTTGGGAAGAGGATTAGTTTATAGAATTATTTGATGTTGGAAATAAGTGAAAGAGTTGTATCATATTAATACAAAAATGCCTTCGCAGGTGTTTGGTTTTTTTTCCAGCTTTATTACTAATGGAAAAGCTTTGTTCATCCTGGAATTTACTTTTTGCCTCTAGATCAGATTGAGTGAAGTCCCTCCACGATTTAGTGACCAGAATGTAAAACAGCTTCTGATGTTTTCAGACTTGCTGGCCTCCCCACTTACCTTCCAAAACAAATCTGCATTAAATTCTGCCTATACTATGAAATGGGTTGCAAGAAGAGAGGATAACCTTGTTGCTAAGGCATTCAGTTGTTGTCTGAGAAATGGGATCTCCCTCTACTCTGTCCCTCCTGCGTGACAGAAGACAACTCAGTCATGTTTTGAGCTTTTTTTTTTTTAATAAAGATGTATATTCTGTAACACACAGAACTGCACTTATAGAGGTGGGGCAGAGGGTTCCATTCCCTTTGCCTTGGGTATTCTCTTGCACTGTTCCCTTAAGCACTCCTTGTATCCTGTATATCCCTGTATGCCTGGGTTTTTTGAATTTAGACTTTGCAGTTTGCAATTATGTGTGCATATAGGCAGATCATGGTCTACAGTAGCTAATATGGATCTTTATTTTTTGGAATTTCATTAATTTCTGAATTTTTAGCTTAATGCTATAACCAAGGCATAAAAGAGTGGGGGTTTATGTCCCATCTCTCTTGGGTTTATGTCCAAAATTTGTTTCATTTCAAGACAATAAATGTAGATGGGCGAACTACTTAAAATAACAAAATGGAATCTTACATGTACACATCTTACTTTTGAGATGTGCAGAAGCTGTGTTATTAAATACATTAACTTTTCCACTGTTATGATGTAATCACAGAATGATAGTGAATGGAAGTGAAAAAATCCTGAAATCATGCTCTTTTTTCCTTTTTGACCTTTTTTCCTTTTTTATGCAGGAAAAGGATCAGCGCAGCCTAGATATCAATACTGCCAAGTGTATGTTGGGCCTTCTTTTAGGAAAAACATGGTCCCTTTTTCCAGTATTTCACCAGTTTCTAGAGGTATGAACTTTAAAACAGAATTACATATTTTTTTTTTTATCTGTCTTCTCTGATACTTTAACTAGAAGTAGAATGAACAGCTAAGAACTTTGTGTTCTTATGTAGAATATAGTAACCCACAAAGCAGCACTGACAACCATTTATCTCTCCTTTCTTCCTTTTCCCCAAATCCCTACGGTGTTAAGGTTTATTTGATGCAGGACAAAGTATATATCTGGTTTTGATTTGCTTTTAGACGTTTTTTGTCCAAAAAATATTATTGCTGTGTCTTTGTCCACTAAAAGATGTCTTAATTAGAAACATGTATTATACGACACTTGTTTGACTACTTAGTGGTTTCTTTAATCCTGTTTAGTTTTTGATGGCATCCAGATTAAAGTAATAATTCATCACAAGGTTTAAATTTTCTGTAAGAAAATGTGAGTTTGAGGGAGTTGAAAATACATTTTAGTAACTTCTGTTTCTTGCCTCAAGCAGCAATCAAAATACAAAGTTATCAATAAGGACCAATGGTGTAACGTTCTTGAATTCAGCAGAACAATTAACCTTGACCTCAGTAACTATGACGAAGACGGAGCCTGTAAGTATTACCATATGTCGGTGTTCTAAAATAATTTATTTCTCTGAGCTTAATCACTCAGTGTCCTTTTCACGGAATTTTGTAAAATGCAAGTTATTTGATCTCTCTACAGGGCCAGTGTTGTTGGATGAGTTTGTGGAATGGTATAAAGGAAAACAGATGACATAGGAGTTTAACTATGCACAGCCACTCGAGAGTCACTGTTACCACAGTTAATGTCAACCATTAGCCATAAACTGCTCTTTGTATGGAAGTGCATGCTGCTTCTCTTGCACTGCGTCCCTTTGGCGGGGAACTTTTGGTGTTTGCTATTTAACAAGCCTAGCTCTGCTCGCTGTGTAGCATTGTTCTCTTTGAAGGCTGCTTTGCATTATGTATTTACACTACGAATTGGTGAACTTGCCAGCGTCTTCACTGTGATTATGTGTATATTGCTGTCTAAATTTTGTATATGTGTATAAAAAAAGAAAAGAAAAAAGCTTCACCTAGGGATTATTTCTGCAGAAATGTATTGTACAAATAATTTCGTGGCATATTTCTAGTCATCACTTACATGTTTGTTGAAACTTCGGTTAGTTTGTTTTTCTTTTGGTCTCAAATGTAGCATTTCAGAAAAATGAAATGAACAGACTGCTTGGACATAGTTACGTGAAGAACTATTGTCAATTTTAATGTTACTATTTGAGATGCCAGTTTCTGAGGGGAGAAGACATGCTGTGACTTTCTTCACCGGAATTCGCCAAACCTGACCTATTGCTTAATAGGAATGAACATTGGTGTCTTAAAAAAAAGTATATATATACACACATATAAATATTAAAACACTGTAATAGTTGTACATGCCACAGATGATTTCCATTTGAAGAAAAAAGTACTGACTTTTTAATGTTAAAACTGCAGTAGTCATTACAGGTACAAATGAACAAATTAAAGTACCTTTTAAAAATGGGTTTTAGACTTTCTTAAATTGCCTTTGGCATACTCCTGTCAATTTATTTATTTTTTTTTTTGTGTACCCAAGAGTGTTTGGTCTATGTTGCAATCCAGTGAAACTGAAAGTTCTAGCTAAAATTAGTGGTTTGGGGAATAAAGTCTGCTCACCCCTAGCACGTAGATAATACAGATTTGGGGTTTTTTGTTTGTAACATTAGCCTTTCCCAGGGTCTCTAACTTTGTGTTTCTAAGAAATTAAACATATTATACTGAATAGTCAAAACATTACTTTTTCTTTCATGCTGGGGATTGGAATTTCCTAGCAGAACGGCCATTGCAGGCAATGGGCGTGTTAAACACCAGCATTAAATGACAGTAGTTTTTAGTAGGGACCACTGCCTGTTTCACTTGCTTCTTTATAGGACAGTTCCAGTGATTATTTTGGGGAAAATGAGTGGATGGAATGATGTTTCAGTTCTGTAAATTGTCACATTGTCTTTGCCTTACCCTTCTTTATTAACTAATGTTAGTGTTGATTTTATAAATAGGTCCTTGAAGTATCCGGTGCTATTAAACTTTTGATCTCTGAGGATTTATTAAAATGTTCCTTGTTGATTCACGGAGCATTTAAACAAAAAAGGGCCAGTGGATGTTTTGGAACAAAGAATAACATCACTTTTGTGTAGAAATATTTCCCAAGGTATTGGCAGTTTTGCTATTTCTCTAGAATGCAATGCAGGGGAAGTGGGGGGAAAGCATTTTAAGTTGAATGTGAAATTGTCAGCTGTATAGAAGGTCCTGTTCTGCTGTCACTGAAGTCAGGAGCAACTGTCATTAACTTGGCTGCTTGCGGGGTTAAGCCTAGTTCAGCAAAAGCACATTAGTTTGTTGCCCTGGACCAGGAGGTTGTGACTGTGGTGCTACAGGGGGTCACTGGTGTTCAAATCTCGTTGTTGTTGTTGGGTTTTGTTTGTCAAACTCGGCTGCCAAAGAAAAAAAAATTGTGTGTGTTTGTGTATATTTGTATATACATAAATATACAATATATATGCATATACAAACCCTAGAATTCCGTGATGCTAAGAAGGAAATACTACCTTTCCCCGTGAAATAGTCATGTTTGGATTTCCATGACATTAAATAGTGCTCTTTAAAGTTAATGGTGGTAAAACATACATAGACATTGCTTTCTCATGTACTAATATGTGTAACCTTAATTCCATGTTTGATGCCAGTTTGCACAAGAAATTAATTCAGTGGAGTGTGGTATTTAATGTTTACAATAAGCCTCTTACTAAAACACACACGTTTTATTAAGACTTCTGATGTAAATGTGTATATTACCATAGTATAACCGTAAGGAAATATCAGTGGAGCTGCTGGTTTAGTTCTTAGAAGAATGAACTCTAGAAGCAATATAACTTTTAACATTAGGCTAAATTGTGGTTGCTAAGATTTTAAATGAAATACTGTAATTGTTCTTAAACGTTAAGCTAGTTACTGACTCTAGAAAACTGTTTAGCACAAATTGGCATGAATCCTGCAACAAATACAAGGTTTGCATAAAAGGTTTTGTATGTCACAAATCATTTGGCTTCCAATAGCGGAAGCAAGAGCCAAAGACTTTTAATCTCTTACTGTTACAGGTGTAATTTTCATACAACAGGGTCAACAGAAATCTGTTCAGCTCAAACAGGTGCTCTTTCTCCAAGTTGTGCTAAGGTTTAGCAGAATACAAAATTTAATTAAAACAAAGGAAAAGAAACCTCAGAAAGTGCTCACGCTGTATAAGTAAACAAACTTCATTTTTTCTTTGGGTAAAAGTAATCAGGAGTGATGAAAAGGAAGAATGTGTTTGGAAATGAATTGGGTAGATGATGAAAACTGTTTTTTTCTACTTACAAGCAGGATGAATCTGTAGTTTTCAGCTGGTTTATAAATGTGCATCTTCATAAAATAAGCCACAAATTAAATTACAGCTAGTGGATGGCTTTACTGACACTTACAGAGAACAAATGGAGCCATATGGTTTAATAAACTTCCCTGTGCTATCCATCCTTCTGGGTTTTGCTCTGGGTGCTGATAAGCAGAGGATCCTAACATTGAGGAGTGATGAAAAGGAAGAATGTGTTTGGAAATGAATTGGGTAGATGATGAAAACTGTTTTTTTCTACTTACAAGCAGGATGAATCTGTAGTTTTCAGCTGGTTTATAAATGTGCATCTTCATAAAATAAGCCACAAATTAAATTACAGCTAGTGGATGGCTTTACTGACACTTACAGAGAACAAATGGAGCCATATGGTTTAATAAACTTCCCTGTGCTATCCATCCTTCTGGGTTTTGCTCTGGGTGCTGATAAGCAGAGGATCCTAACATTGCCAGCTCTTGTATTTTGGAGAAATTCCCTCTCATTTTTAAATAATTGTGGAAACTTAACTAAGCTACTCAGCTTACCTTGCAGTTTGGTGTTTGGTTTTTTGCTTGTTATGCCATCCTATCATTGACATAGGGCTTTGATTTGTGGTGGGTTTTTTTTCTTTTGAAAAGTAATATACAAGCTATGCTAACTTCTTGGACGGGACACTGAGAGGTCATTCTGGCAGAAGTGTCCTGGGTCTTGTGCTGATCTTTCTGGTGTGCTATTACTGCCCTTACAGCAGAAACCTGCTGGTCTGTGTGCAATTCGTGCTGGGTATTTGGGAGATGTAAAGGGGAAAGGCAGTTAGCAAAAGGAAAATGGCATCCAAAGACTACAGCAGTGGACACTCTTAAGTCAATAGATGACAAACATCTGGAGCTCTTTGGACTCAATGATCTTAAAGGTCTTTTCCAACCTAAACGATTCTATGATTCTATGAATATTAGTAACGGGAACATTCCACAAATTAAATTTCATTCTACAGCAAAATAATATTCAGTATTTAAAATATTAATATAATTCTGTGTTACTGTTTTTCACTTTTTATCTTTTTCAAGGAAAACAAGCTGAAGAGGGTGGAATGTGTTGGAATCTTTAATGTACTTGAGTTTTCAGTTAAAACCTGTTTAAGGTTGCCTTTAAGCTACATTAGGTATTTGGGTTACCCTTGTGTAGCCTCTTCTAACATTTGTAAAGGACTGGAGGCCTTGTCCATTTTACCACAAATACATGCATTTTATTTCATCACAAATGTGCTCACACAATGAAGATTACTTACAGCTCATTGCTACTTGGTTAATGTTCCCAAGTTGCTGTTTTGGAGGGCAGGAAATGGATTTCAATTGTTTTAAGGTTTTCCCAGATTTCTGTTGACCCTTGGTCACAAGTCTAACAAATTCTTTAATACTCTTAGAATTCATGTAGCCAGCTTTAAAGGTTAGCTTGTGCCCTGGTTTTAATTCTAACTGCTAAATACCTCTTTCTAGGCCTTATATTTTGTCCTTTCGTATCGCTGTAAAAGTGTATAGAATCCATCCACCAACTACACAGTTTGTTGTCTGTAATTGAGACCAAAACTGGGCTTGATATTTTTTTGTTTGTTTTTATTTTTAAAACTTTTTCCTCCCCTCTGTGTGTGCGTGTGTACGTGTGTTGTCACAAAACAGGGCCCACTGATGCTGCTGTGGCAGGAACAGCAGTTAACCTGTGACTGTGAATGCTTTATGTCTTAGTTATTTGGATATCCCATAAATAAGGTGAGCTCCTGCCACTCACCACCTGACGAAAATACTGTTACGCCACCCAACGTGAGTTCAACCAGTTGATTTTGAGGTCTTTTGCTGGTGTTGATGTAAAATGGCATCTCACAAATAAACAGTATTTGTGTTGGTTTCAGCAACTGACTTCAGATTTTTCTGTGGGTCATACTTCAGAAGTTCTCATCTCTGAGCACGTATCACATCAGCTGGCAGCTTTGATCATTTAGATGGGGAGAATTTGTGTGTATAACCTTGTCAGCCTTATTCCTAATAGTGAGGCAAATCAGTATTTAAAACTTTTGTTGGAAAAAGGTATGTTTCAGAGGGAGTGTGTGGGTGTAAAACAGTATTGTGATACAAAGGTTTTCAACAAAAAGAGTCACTTTGAGCAGAGATGTCTCTTAAGGCAAAATTCTACAAGAACTGTGATTATTACACAGGCTTTCAGGCCATGAGGTCCTCATAAAAAAGCTGTTGATGGATGTGCTGGATGAGCAACCATTGAGAGGTGGACTGAAAACTGGCTGAATGGCAGGGCCCAGAGGGTGGTGGTCAGTGGCACAAAGTCCACTTGGAGGCCAGTAGCTGGTGGTGTACCCCAAGAGTCAATACTGGGTCCAGTCCTGTTCTTCATCTTCATTAATGGCCTGGATGATGGAGCAGAGAGTACCCTGAGCAAGTTTGCTGATGATACCAAACTGGGAGGAGTGGTTGACACAACAGAGGGTCATGCTGCCATCGCGAGGGACCTCGACTGGCTGGAGGAAGTCAACAGGAACTTCATGAACTTCAGCCAGGAGAAATGCAAAGTACTGCACGTGGGGAAGAACAAGCCCATGCACCAGTATATGCTGGGATATGTGGTGATATTTTGATCTGAGGGTCCCTTGATCATGTTAAACACTTGGTGGTTTTCTTCCTTTTTAGAAGACTTTTTCAATTATTTGACTTGTAATGAACTGTCATGATCTTTGTAAAGCAAAAGCAGAGCGGCAGCAAAGCTGCTGGCAATATGACATTAAAGTTATGGCCTAAATGTCCATCATACACTCACAAATTTAGGTTTCTAAAGGAGCCATTAGTTAATTGCACTACTTTGTGTTGCTTGGAGAGTTACAAACCTGGTTTTGAATAGGAAACAGACTTAAAAGCTGGCAAAGAAAGTAGAGAGCCACCTGTAAGAGGTTCCACAAGAGATTTTAAAATACTTCACACTGTTTGAGCTACGAGTCCTAAGGCTCTTGACTTAAAATATTATTTTAAGTTGAATGTATTTGGGTTGCAGTTAGAATCTTGTAAAGTGGAGCCCATTCCAGAGAAGGGGTTCTCCATCACCTTCGTGTTGGTGATGAAGGTGGGGTTGCCCTCACCAGCTCCCAAGGTGTCACCTGCTGCTGGTGTTTATCAGAGGGGGTGAGTCACAGCTCATGAAAACTTTAATACCACTACCCAATTAGTTTCTGATGTTAATTATATGTCGGTTAGATGTGAATGTCTTTTCTTTATATTCAAGGGTTATTTTCCAGCCCGGTTATCAGCCTGCTCCGGAAAGATCCAAGTGCTTTGTGCCGACAGCAAACAACTGGTGATATTCCAGGTGTAAGTGGGGACTGTGTGGCTGTTGCACAGGGAAGGGGATGGAGAACTGGGATGGGTGGAGAGAACCAGAGCATGAAGAGAACTGCCTGGGAGCCACAGAAAATATGAAAATGTTTTGTATTAACTTCAAGAGCAATCGCTACTGAAGTGAGGAACTGATAGGAAGGAGAAGCAGCTGAGCGTTTGGATTTGGACAACCAAGTGCTGATCAGAGTGTCTGGAGCGAGCAGAAGCAAAGGGAAGGTGCCCCATCAGGCAGAAATCTGAAGGTAAGTTTGAGATAGAACTTAACAAAGTTCTGACAGTAGAATTAAACAATTCATCACATGTTAAAAACCCCTTGATGAAGGAGCAAACTTATTTTCTCCGATGAGAACAGCAGATAACCTTTTGCCATGACTTTATGGCATAAAGGGAGGCTTAGAAAACTCACAGCTTCTCACAAGTCCTCTACTGACTGTCTGCATCACCAGCGCAGCCTTCCCACGGGCAGAGAAGAGATGAGAAAATAACTTTCCAATATCTATTTTGAAAGCTGCCTGAACTGTAGCAGAAGCGAATGAGAAAACATGGGAGAGACATCAGTAGAGCCACTCAAATACGTATTTTCCCCCCCCCCATGATCCATGAAATTGGCTTGTTCATGTAATTAGATTTCTTAACTCATTAGCAGCTGCTACAGCCAAAAGGTGACAGACCTTGGAGATGTTCTGATCAACAGACCTTTATAGGTGCTCTGCTCAATGCCTAGAAACACCTACAGGGTGAGTGTCTCTCTTCAGTGGTGCTCAGGGACAGGACAAGAGGAAATGGGCACAAACTTGATGTGCCCCTCTCAGGGTTTCACTACTCTCTCTCTCTTGCCAAGTTAAAAAGTAATTTTTAAAATGTAACGGAATACAGCTTCAACCTTACCTGTCTGTGCAAAACTGGGGGAGTTCAGAGACATTTAACTGGCAAATTTGGTTCAAAGAGCAGCAGTCGGTAACGTGCCCTATTTCACTTTATAGGGCAAGTCCCACAGGAAAATACAACAATAGTAATAATGTAATGATAATTTCAGCCTTATATTTATTTTAGACAAAGGGACAACAGAACTGTGCATACCAGGGGCAAACTCTAAGGGAAACAAATATCTTAGTACCAACAGAAATGAGAAAGTAAATATTATTGTAACTCAGCAAAAGCTTTATTATCAGTTATAATTACTGAGCAGTTCACTCATTTGAGTTACTCTAGAGTTGTTTTTCATAAAATCTATTGTTTATTTACATGTAACCTGTTTTTAAAAAGTCCATGGCTTCTGGCCTGAATTACCCTTTGGAATGACGATGTTTTAAAATTGGATGGATCCAGGTTTTGTACATCTCGTTGTTAAGTCTAGTTCCAAAACTTGGGTTTCTGAAGCCAGAAAGGCAGACAGACCTACTGAGGTGGGGAGAACATACAAAAGCAACCCATGGTATTTAACAGTTATGAAAAACACACACTTCACTTTAAGAACACAATGATTTTTGCACCTGCTCTGTGACACAAACACTGGGAGCTTGGGATTACGCTTCCCTGTCTCAGCTGTTGAAGTCTGTTTTTCTGCTTTGCAAAATGTTAGCAAATCCATCAAACGCCCTTTTCTTCTTGACGAAAAACTGTCCCTGTCCTGAATTGGTCTGGCTTTTTTGACTGAGTTGTTCACTTGAGTTCTGGGGGCTGGTGGCTGCCGTGGAGCTGCTCTCCAGCCCTGTCCAAGTAGTGTCATCCTCCCTCCTGCTGGAATCGGTGCTTCTGAAGATGGTATTTCCTGGGAATGACCATGAACTGTATCCGGTGCTTTCGTGGAAGGAGCCCTGTGGGACTGAGAGGGAATCTGCCGCCTCCTCCCTCTGATCCAGTTGGAAGTTGTCTTCTGTGTTGAAGCCTGGTTGTGTTTTGCCAGAAGAGTGGAGATGCAGCAGATCTGCCCTAAGGTTGCCAGGTGGTGTTTCTTCAGGCAGACTGCAGTTGCTGGTGTCCTGTGATTCTGTGAATCCGTCACAGTTCTCCTCACTGAGGCCCGTTTGCATTTCCTCTGCACAAGCCTCAGTTGTGTTCTCCTCCTTCTCCCATGGCAGCAAGTCGTCTTCCTCTGCAACACCCAACAAATGGTTTTCAGCTGTGTGTTCAGGCAGAGACTGAAGAGATGACTCGTCGCTGGAATGCAGGGGAGAGGTGTTTTTAACAATTTCATTCAAACCGGTATCGAGGGGAGCAAAAATCAAATCACTGTCCTCAAAGATACTCGTGGTTCTTCTGAATGTAACGTCCCCTTCACCGTGGTTCTCCTCAGAGGGGGTCCACTCTGCGTCCTCCTCTCCACTTCCCTCTGATCCATCTTCTTTGTGTGCAGGGGGAGTGGAGCTGAGGGAACGCTCTGGTTCAACGGGAAGCTGATAGAGCTGCACTTCAGCCTCTTCAGGAACTTTCTCTGTGTCTGCGTCACACGTGGGAGAATGGTGCAACGAAAGGAACGTGCTACCAAAATCTGTGCTTTGGTTGTGGAGAGAATCAGGGGTTTGCCCTGTTGGCTCTGCATCAGTGAAATAATCAAACGTAGCGGGACCTTCTTGACTCGAAGAACTCCTTGTGTCTGAGCCTGAGATGCTCACGTGGTCGCTGCCTCCGTCAGCCCAAGGGGATGCTGTTTCAGGCAGGATGGTATCTGAGCCATAATTAACAGTGGTTTCAAAATTGGCATTGCTCTCGTCTTCATTTTCTCCAATACACTGCAGTTCTGCAGCAAGGGTTGGAGACTCTGTTGGAGCAGAGAACTTCTCAGTTCCACTTCTCCCATTGGCTTCCTCTAGCGACGACTGACAGACCGGCAGGGTGTCACCAGCGTCGGGTTGTTCCAGTTCCAAGTCTGATAAAGAGCTACAGTCGCTCAGTGTGAATGGAGTCCCTTCATCTGAAGAGCTGTCCCCAAATATATCTGCCGGAGCGTATCTGTCACTGGTATGTGCCGTTTTATAGTCGTACTCTTTAAGAGGAGAGTTTTCTGTGGTTTGCTGGAGATGTAAATTCTCAGTACTTGGATCTCTCTTGCAGCTACTGGGTGAAACAAAATCTCCCACGTCGCTGGTTGTATTTGTGTTGCCATTTAGACCAAGTTGTTCATCGCAGCGTTGCCTTCCAGGCAGAAATTTTGTAGTGCTCAGGGGCTCCTTATGTGAAAAAATACCTTTTCTTTCGGGAGAATCTGGTGTAGCCTTTGTGATTTCAGACTGTGCTGCTTCATTGCTGTTCTTGTGATCTTGTGATCTTCCAGAAGATAGTCCGTTATCACCAGCAGTTGTATCTTCGTAACTGCTGATACTGGGTTTGATGTCTGAAATCACGGTGTTCTCATTATTGCTTTGTTCCTGGTGCTCTTCTTCAGTATTTGGTGCCTGCACGCTGCTGCCAATGACATTTTCATACAAAGCAGAGGCTTCGGTAGGAAAAAAGCGTGTTTTTCTAGAAGAATTCTCCTGGGAAGTGAACAAATCATGCTGTGTATTTGGTGGTTTGCTTGCAGAGCTCCCTCTGCTCGAGGTTTCATCTGAAAACCCGTGATTATCATAAGTGTGTTCTGACCCCGAGTTCTTGTTCCTGCGCATGAGTCTCCACAGCCTCCCCAGGTAGGGCCTCGCCAACGCACCCAGGCAGAAAGCACACACGAAGGTGATGAGCACCGAGAGGGAGACGGCCAGAGCCAGGTCCTGCTCCCCCCCTCCTCGGCGAAAAACAGCGGTAGCGTCCCGGGCGCTCTGAACCAACACCCCGGAGACCCTTTCTTTCACCTGGATGCTGTAGGTGAGATATTTCCTCTTGGTTGTGTTAGAAGTACACACATACAACCCTTCGGCAGGTCTCTCAGCATTGTGTATCATTAAATTATTCATTCGATCCAGTGCCATATGAGGAACACTCTTGTCTTTTGAAATTCTGCCTTTGGGTGTCCACCAAGAGACTCCATTACCTGAAATAAAAGAAAACACAAACTAAATCTTTCTTAATAGCATAAGCTACTTGGTTTGCAGGGTCCAGTTGTTTTTATAAGAACATACTCTGATCTATCTTCAATAATCTTAACTATTTATTATAAACTCCATTTTCTTTTTATCCATCCACAGTCATTTTAAGTGGTACCGAGCATCTGTTAAAGATAATCTTAACTATTATAAACTTAATTTTCTTTTTATCCATCCACAATCATTTTAAGTGGTACCGAGCATCTGTTAAACCATCATATGTTTCCCCCCACATTTAAAACACGGTCTGTGCGGGGTCCTAATAGCAGACTTTACAAGAAAAACGGTGTGGGTGAGGTTGCTGAAATTATTTAAGTATGTTCTGAGTTACTCTAGAAACTCCTGCTGCTCTCCCTCCTGGAAGATCCATATTTTTGGCCAGCCGTTCTCCAGCGTGGCCATGGTCACCGAGATAAAATTGCACTAATTAACTGGCAACGTTTCAACCATTCTGATTCTCCTGTAGTTACTGCTTTGACTGCAGCAAAAAGGTGTGAAAACCAAGGATATTTTAATCTGCCGAGGAATTGTTCCAAATTTTAGCTAGTGGGGGGCCATGGCTGGTTGTTGGCTTTTGGAATTTGTCTCAAGGTTGTATGAAACACCTTTGCCTTTGGATCTGCCTGTGTTCCCAGTGGAGCTTTGGGTGGATTTTAATTCCAGAATCAGAGTTTCCATGACTTTCTTCATGAATAAACAAAGCAGGTGGCATTTCTGATCGACTCCATGTATTTTCATTTGGGGATAAAGGGGAAAACCACACTCAAAGTGCTGTTAGTCCACCAGAGTTAAATCTTACAGCACATGACAAATAGACCTTCTGCTCTACCTTTGGTCCGAGTTTTCCTTCTGCGTGGGCAGTCTGAGCTCTGTAGGCTTTGTCAGTCGTACTTCATGTGCTCTGCATAACTGTAAATGCTGAATTAATTTCCTAAGTGAACTCTGTGTTACAGTAGCTGCTACTTTTTTGGAAAAAATATAATTTTTTTCCCTTGCAAATAAACTTTAATTCCATTTTGCTGTAACTGAATACTTAGAAACATTATTGTCTCCTCCTTGGTTTCCTGCAGTGTGCCCCAGCAGTGACACCCCACTGGCTGCTCCTCCTGTGCTTTCCCAATTTAATGGATACGTTTGCGACGTACTACTTACTGACATTTATTTGTGTATAATTTGGCATCACTTGTTAGTTTAATGTAAGGAAGGAGATGAAGACTATTTTTGGGAAAAGTCACTTTCAAATATTCTAACCTGTTTATGACTTTCTAATGAAATAATTTGCATGTTAAATTGTTGTTCGGTTATTTTTAAACAGTATGTTTAGAAATCCACTTTCTAAAGCAGGTTTCTGTGATCATTCTGCACACGTTTGGATTTTAGCAGCACATGGAGAGGGTCCCCGTTTCACATACCCCTCGTGTTGTCCAAGTCACAGTTGAGCACCGATGTCCTCCCTGTCGGGATGACAGTCCTCCTGAGCAAAACACCGTCGCTGCAGTTCAAATGGAAGCTTGAGAGATACAGCAGAGGTTTCTGTGAGTTGGTGGCAGATACATTGTATGAAATACTCCATTTTTTCCTCGTGGAGTCAAAACGAAAATGAAATAAATGTTTGAAAGCATTTGGTCTGCAGTTAAATATCCAGGCATTATTTGACAAACCAACTTCAAGTTGAAAGAAGTTCAAACTGATTAGTGTCTGTGGTAATGGGGTTGCCAGGGCATTTTCACGGAGATCCACAACCTATTTGGAAACAATTTAGAGTTAATTTGATAAGCCTTCACAACAGAATCCCAACTGCAATGTCAACAATAACATTAATTTTAGTATACAAGCACTTTTGCAGCTACAGGATAAGCCTTCACAACAGAATCCTATTGCAATGTCAACAATAACATTTATTTTAGTATACAAGCACTTTTGCAGCTACAGGAACAATACATCTGGTTAGGATGTCAAGAATGTTGTTCTAAAATTTTTAATTTAAATTAAAAGTTTAAATTGTGGTATATTTAGAATTCTCCCATTGAAGACTACCTCTGTGTGAATGGGAAGCCACAGGGCTCTCACCATGGAAGGGATGGGGGCAGAAGGGGACGTGTGTGTGCTGAAGCCAGGTATGGATTGTTTTGTGGCATAGATAAATAGTGAATTTATGGTTGTATTTTCTATATTTACAAGTGTGCTTTCCTATAAATGAAGAGCAAATATACATAATACAAAAATAATGATTATTTTCACCACTTGCTTTAGTCTTTATAATTCCATACTAATATAATAATCAATGGCCAACATAATCGTGCTGAAAAGTTGATAATTAATATCTCTACTGGTGATTAACACAGGACGTGGAAACAGTTGTACTATTGCTTTACAACCTGTAATTTGTTGAGATCTCTGAAGGCGTCCAGGTGAATTTCAGTTATCTTGTTGTTTTGCAAGTCGATGTCCTGCAGTTGGGAACAGTTCTCAAAATCAGTCGGCCCAACCTGTCGTATGCCGTTGGACGACAAGCGGAGAGTTTCTAAAGATTGCAGCAGGCCCAGGCCTAGGAAGAACACAACGATTTTACATTTCTCGTTTTCCCCAATTGCATCAAGTGGCTTTTAAAAATTTTTTGTGACAAAATTCCTTCCCTTCCTGTCTATTGCAACAGCGGCTGAAGGCTTTGAGTCATTGTCCTTTCCTCTACGGTGGTTGTCCCACTCTAAAAGTTGTGTGGCATCAACAGCAGGAGCGTTAATGCGTTCACAGTCAGTGCATGTCTTAAAAATTCACACCTCCATAAAAGCAGTAACGTTCCTTTGTGCTATCAAAATTATTCCGACTGTGATCTCTTTCATCACGATTCTCTGGAGAAGTGAAGGTAGGAGAGGAGGAGTGTGAAAAGGGTGGAATATGCTCAGTTTAAAAGGAGGCTGAGGGGAGAATTGGTTGGGCTCTTCTCCCAGGTAACAGGCACTAGGAGAAGAAGAAATGGCCTCAAGTTGCACCAGGGGAGGTTTAGGATGGATATTAGGAAAAATTTCTTCACTGAAAGGATTGTCAAGCAGTGGAATGGGCTGCCCAGGGAAGTGGTTGAGTCACCATCCCTGGAGGTGTTTACAAGATGGTGGAAGTGCTGCTGAGAGACATGGTTTAGTGATGGCTTTTGTCAGTGTGAGGTTGATGGTTGACTTGATGATCTTAAAGGTCTCTTCCAACCCAGGCAATTCTATGATTCTATAACATGCATTATATTAATTGTAAATAAAAGATGGGGATGCCAAAGGTGATATAGTATCTCCTATTAATTGTCGTCTGCAGCTTCATAGGAGTTTTTAGTTATGTGGAATTAATCTGAACTGTTATCCACAGGATGCAAACCTAACTAAGAACGGTGGTGTTGCTTGTGCCTGCCTGTGAATTCCCAGGTGTGGCAGCACATTCTTTACCACGTCCTGGTTATGACAGGACCCATCTTGCCACAGTGGCCCTTTTTAAATGCTGGAGGTGCCTCAGTTTTCTCAGCTGCTGTGCAGGCAGCCCCAGAGCTCCAGCCCAGAAGGGCAGGCACTTGGACACTCAGCATCGCCACCGTTTGTAACACCTCGATGTCACCCTAAAGGGATTTTTGATCATGAGGTGTTGTTGAGAAGATACTAGTTCTCCTTCAGAATTTTAGCCTTGGTGTCACCTGGTTTGCTGGAAATACCTTATTCCAGTTTGGGGAGGAACTGATCTTTGGGTTTATTGTGAAAAGCAGTAGGAGTGATTCATTCCTGCTCTGAAACCAGAGGCAGAGGGTAGGAAATGCATCCAGAAGTTCCTTGCACCTGCACAAAGAGTTGCAGTTTGGATGCGTCCCTGGAGCTGAATTTGTGCCAGAAAGACACGTGGGTACAGCAGCAGCCTGACACCCGGGGGTGCTGGCTGTGGGGAGGGTTTCTCTGTGGCCAAACCCCTCTGCTTAAGAAATTCAGATTTTCTTAAAATTCGGTGTTTTCTTACAAACTAGAATGTTAAGGATTTTGGAGGAGAAAAATAAAATTCTGAACATGCATTTAAATGAGTATGGGATTTAAGGACAACTTGGAGTATGGGGGTACGATGCATCACAGTTTAACATCGAAAAATGGAGTCTCTTGGAGGAAAGGGTTGATCTCTCTGACCCACTGGGGCATCCCATAATGAGTAGTTATAGTTATCTACCAAAACAAATCACAATTACATCAATGTATTTTATAATATAAGCTTTTCTATACTATCTATGTGGAACCTTACCAGTACTGCAAAATAATTGAGTGAAACAGTTTCCTGCGTACCAGAGAATTACTATCAAAAAAGGAGAAAAATAGAACTTGGAGGACGCTGCCTAGATGCAAAATTATAAAATTATTCCCTTTGTCTGATTTTGTGAGATAAGTAGGTTTTTGGTTTGCTCCCCCAGCCCCCAGAGAAGGTGTTGCTTTGGGTGGGTGACAGGCAGCAAAGAGCAACATTGCTTTGACTGAACAACATGGATTTTCCTGTCTTTGTGACATACCGAAATTGGAGCAAGTTTTATTTGAGAAAGTATTTACTTTCTTCAGAAGAGAAGTATGAGATTCGTTATCAATAATTTTCTTGTTGTTAAGGTTCACGACTGGGTTGTGGAGGCTGGCATTTTTCCAAAGCTCCTTATTTCCCTTTCTGTACAACAAAGAAAACCACTTCTTGGGCTCCCAGAGGATAAATTTGGTTGTATCTGACTGACATTAAGGCATCACGATTGCAAAGACTATTAAAAAAAACCCCTAAACCTAATGTGAAACAACCCATTCGCTTCAGTCTCTGTGTTTGCACCCACCTGGAACTTTCCCTCACCTGAACTATAATTAAATGATTCTGAATTCAGCCAGAAGTACTGATTTGTACCCAAACCCAACTCACCCCGAGGATTTCGAAACGCTCACCTCTTGGAACGCTGCTGAGATTATTTCTTTCAACTGACAAGACTTTCAGAGCAGGCAGGAGATGGTCGATGTTGCCGTCCTTTTGAGGCGTGGGTAGGTCCAGGGCGAAGGCGTGGATGGCATTTCCATCCAGGTTGAGAGTTTCCAAAAGGGGTAAATTCCTACAGGTAGTTAAGGAGAGTTCAGAAATCAGGTTGTTGCTGAGATTCAGGTGTTTTAGCATCCATTCTTCACTTCTTTCCTCAGCACACGTAAAAGTTGTAATGTTATTGAAGCTAAAATCAGCTGTTATTGCTGTTTGTGATAGATCTTCTGGAATAGCAGATATTCCGGTGAAAGAACAATTCACTGAGAAGTCCCCGTCCCACCGGCAGCCGGAACGGTGATGGGCGTGAAGAAGACTCCACTCTGAGTTGGTTCCCACTGATCCAGGCAGATGAAAGTAAAGGGCCACAGCAATGACATTCAGGTGAAAGTTATCCATAGTAGCTGGATGTAAAATGTAAAATTAGGGTGAGTTCAGTGCAACAAGAGTTAAACAGAAAGCGGAAATACTTTGACATAAAAAAAATCATTAAACACTAAACAAATACCCAAAGCACTACCACCATTCTGCCTTAAACGCTGGGTTTTGGAGTTATTAGATACGTTTCAAAAAGAACATTTATGAACTGGTAACCTTCCCCCCTCCCTCCACCTCTCCCAAAAAACAATCTGAACCTTCAGTCCTTCATTCCAGCCCTTGGTCACCAAACGCAGTTTCTCAGGAACTAAGAGCAGTGGAGACTTTGGAACTCTGCTGCAGGTATCGTCACAATGACTGCCGAGCAAAGTCCACCTGATACAATCCATGACGAATAGATGCGGAATGATTTTCATACTTACAGTTAATAAAATACTACTTCCCCTCTCAATAACCCAACCGCCTATTTTTAATGAGAAAAAAAAAACAACTATATTCTTACAAATAAGACTTGATCTTAAAATTTATTGGTTCGTTTCAAAACAAAGATTAGAAATTCAGTTGTCTTTCGCCTACTGCCAGAACTGCCGCGGTTACACACGCTGACAACTCCTCATAGGGAAGCTGTCCCAGCGTCCCCGGGACGGTGTCTTACAGAGAGGCGTGCACAATGTTCTTTAAACACACAAAATCTCAAGTGCATCTATGGGACTGAAATAAATAATGCGCCACACCATGTTTTAAGTACATAAAGAAAAATGTAGGTTAGGCAGTTAGGAGATAAACAACAAATCAACACGCAACACGGGGCACGTGTGGTGCCAGCATTTCTCAAACTGTGTAGTGAAGGCAACAAAATATATTAACAAATCATAAACGGTGGCTAACGCATCGATAATTCATTTCATTTGGTATTTGCATGATCAGTTTTGCTACATTTTGACAAAAAATCCACACTTCAATACCAATTCCCCAGACCATGATTTAAGAGTACCTTCGTGACACATCTTTCAGCTCTGTCGCATATGGTGTTTAAAAAAGAACTCTTGATAAGTACAAGAATCCAAGAGTAGCATATAGGCATGGCAGTAGTAACCAAAGAGGAGCTTTGATGTGCTCTTCATGTGTAATCTCCTTGACTGAGGCAGTAGCTGTCAGTTTGAAGATCTATTTCAGCTGCAACAATGCTGCTTATATTTTTATACGTGTGTATTTATATATATAAAAATAAAGTGACAAAGTTCCATTAAGGTGAGTGAAAATTCTAAAAATGTTATAGTGTATTTCCTCCTCTTAATTGTAACATAATAATTAGGGCACTATTTTAGCAGCAAAGATGTGTGCATGTTCTCAGCAAACGCGTGTTGAAGTGCTGAATAAACACTAACTACTGAAACTATGAAGTTCACGGAGGCAGGATGCAAAATGTCAGTATTTCCCTATTACCTTTAATGTGAGCAATTCGATGGCTGTTGCTACATTTTATTCTGGTTTTGTTAGAACAGCTCCACTGCCGTCCACCCCCCAAGACCACAACAACTCCTCAGCACCAAAACCCACCTGTGCCTTAGAGAAAAGAGGGAACTGTGACCCCCCTGACCTCCTGCACGGGGCAGTGCCCGAGCTGAGGATCCCCCTCTGGAAATCATGTCCACCCACACTCATCCTCTAGCAAACACAGGAATTGGGATCTTAGTTCTTGCTGCAGCTTGCTGCATGTATTTTGTGGAATTCCATGCACTTTGACAGCTATCAAACACAGGCAGGCAGTTTATCTGCCCGCGACAAACCATCGATTCTGAAGTTAATGTGTAATGTCTGCACAACTTTTAGGAAAAGAAGCACGTGCTTATCTAGAAAAACTTGTCAAAAAGCTACTTGCAAAGTCACCTCTGTGGCCTCCATCATTAGGGTTACTTGGTGCTACTGCAAAACACAACTATTTTCAACTGAAGAGAATACGTGGGGAGGGAGGAGTGGGAAACTTATAACGAGCTGGACTATTTTTAGTCCAGAACACCCTACCTCTGCTAAAGCAGTTATCATCAGGCTGTAAGAGTTTCTTTAAGGCCCCACTTCACTTCACCATAGACACAGTTTCACGGTTGACAACTTCAGACACAGGTGGATTTACTCTGCTGTCGCAGGATCTGCCGCCACCACGTTTAGAATTACAGACCTGCAGCTCAACTTTGGAATTGAATTCTGAGGTTCTCAGTAATGTGTCAGTACTGGCATTTCTGGGGAAAATGAGACCTGGTCTCAGGCAGCACTGCGACAGCCATGCTTTAGATTAGTACCTGTTGAATTTCATGTTAAAGCACCCAGGAAAATACTTTTTTTGGGTAGTGAGCGAGTTATAAGCACATCTTTTAAAATGTACTTCTAATATAAATAGATTTTATAAATACTTTATGTAAATTAAGCAACCATAGAATGCCCAAACTGCACAGAGAGAGCTCAAGCAACACTTCAGTAATCACAAGACTATTCCAAACTGGTTACATTTCCACACTCAATATTACTTTGCAAATATTATTTGTGCTAGCATAATTTTTTCTTTAACTACATGAGAATATATGGCAGAAATAATGCAGTATTTTAAAGTGAATCTGCCATTACCCCTCTCTTAGTACACATATGGTAAACCGCATAATTTTGGGGTGGAAATCATTATATCAACCTTTGGCAAGAAATGAAGAGAAGCCAAAACATCGCCATTTCAGCCATCCCAGGCAAATCCAACAACAAATGGACATTCCTGTTGAAGAACTTCAGATCGCAGTTGTGTCCTCAGCAGCCCTCAAGGTCTTGGGATGTAGGACAAAACCCTCCTCCAAAGGCAAGTGAAGGCAATCAAGGTTGTTGCTAAGATCATGTTTTTAAAGATGTTCTACTGATCCCACTTCAGGAAGGAACTTCAGTAGGCGTGTGGACTGAAGGCGTGCTAAATCAGTGCCACTCTTATGGCAGGATGATGACATAATACTGCTGAACGTAACAGCCTCTCCTTAAAAATACTATGTAATAAATGTTAGTATAAACCGCTGTAAAAACAGAAACCCTCGAAGGCATGCAATTACTTCATACAAATATATGTAAACACAAAAGAGAACTCTCCTGGTAGTGGCTGGTGGTTCAGTGGGTGGCTCCGCAGGGGTTGACAGAGGTCTGGCAGCCCATGTTGGAGCCCGTCACCTGCACCTTGAACAGCGTCCCGTCCGCGCACATGCACAGCTTGAAGCGCAGCCAGTTGCTGTTACTGAACTGCTCCCCGTACGAGGAGCTGGGCAGGCGCGACGGGCTGACCATCACAGTTCCATTCAGGATAATGCTGTTTTCCTATTAAGAGGAAGGAAAAAAAAAAAAAAAGTACAACTTCTAATTTAAACCAGGCAGGATGTTTTCGAAAAGGACAAGCTGGTTTAGTGAATCACAGAATCACAGAATCTTCTAGGTTGGAAGGGACCTTAAAGATCGTCTTGTCCAACCGTCAACCTAACTCTGACAAAAATAGACACCCACACAACAAACAAGGAGCATCATCACTAAACCATACCTCCCAGCACTACATCAACCTGTCTTCTGAACACCTCCCGGGATGGTGCCTCAACCACCTCCCTGGGCAGCCCATTCCAATGCCTGATAACCCTTTCAGTGAAAAAATTTTTCCTAATATCCAGCCTGAACCTCCCCTGGCACAACTTGAGGCCATTTCCTCTTGTCCTGTCGCCTGTGACTTGAGAAAAGAGACCAATGCCCGCCTCTCTACACCCTCCTTTCAGGGAGTTGTAGAGGGCAATGAGGTCTCCCCTCAGCCTCCTCTTCTCCAGGCTGAATAACCCCAGCTCCCTCAGCCTCTCCTCGTAAGACTTATTCTCCAGACCCCTCACCATCTTTGTCGCCCTTCTCTGGACCCATGAATCAATGACATCTTTGGCGGGGCTGTAGAAATCAACAGAATAAAAAAAGTGCTTATGACAAGGTTTCATTTTTTAATTAAATTTGTGAGTAAGGGCCATGAATTTCTCAATTATAACCAGCAATGTACTTTGCTATTCCAGGGGTAGATCCATACTGAGAGAGGCAGCAGCAGTGGGGCTTTTCACTTGACAGACCTATTAGCAAATGCAGTAAAGCTAAAAATATGTACGTGAAATGGGAATGAGTGTTTGAATACATATATGAAATTCATTCCTGTGTTAAATAAAATGTGCATGTATCATCTCTTATTTTTCATCTTCCTTTAACCTTTTCCATCATTCTATATGCTCTGCAATCTTAACAATGACCAGGTATCTCAAATGAAAGCTGGCACGTTGCTGTCTGTCCCCAGTAAAACCTCCAGAAGAGCGGATGGATGAATTCCCTTTGGTGTTAGTTTCAGTGCAGAGGCCAGTAGTGTAGCTTTAATTGCACTGTGGGGTTTTAAGTGTCTTGATAGTACTAAATCACGGTCACCTGAAAACTACTGAACCACTAATTAACAGTGAAGTAATAATCCACCTTTTAAAAACCTTACTAAATGCACTGACTGCAACTAAACCTCTATGCATGACTACTTTATATAAAATTTGAATCCATATAAAGCTACATCAGTTTTTTATCAGCCTGAATTGGAAACTAAGCTGTTTAAAAAATGCTGATTTAAAATACTTACTGCTTTCAGTTCCATGTTTCCCCCCATTCGAAACTCAATGGTCTTGCCTGTGATAAAAACACCTTCGTTTCCACGGACAATAGCACGGCCATCGACCTTTATGTTGAGATCACTGGTTGCATTGCTGGTAATCTAACAACATCAACAAAAGAAAAGTGTATTTACAGATCAATGAACATGGCAACTAAACCTCTATGCATGACTACTTTATATAAAATTTGAATCCATATAAAGCTACATCAGTTTTTTATCAGCCTGAATTGGAAACTAAGCTGTTTAAAAAATGCTGATTTGAAATACTTACTGCTTTCAGTTCCATGTTTCCCCCCATTCGAAACTCAATGGTCTTGCCTGTGATAAAAACACCTTCGTTTCCACGGACAATAGCACGGCCATCGACCTTTATGTTGAGATCACTGGTTGCATTGCTGGTAATCTAACAACATCAACAAAAGAAAAGTGTATTTACAGATCAATGAACATGTGCCACTTGGGTTTGTCTGAGTAACTTTAATTACCTCCAAAACATTCCTACACAATTTAATAAAAACCTTCAATGTACTTTTTGCCCTTCTCCTGTTACACCTATGAAACTTCTACCAATTTCCAAATTCACATTGGAAAACAAGGACTACCTAATTTTGGAAGGTTATGTACAATAGTTTATGGGTACTGCTTGGGTTTGTCTGAGTAACTTTAATTACCTCCAAAGCATTCCTACACAATTTAATAAAAACCTTCAATGTACTTTTTGCCCTTCTCCTGTTACACCTATGAAACTTCTACCGATTTCCACATTCACATTGGAAAACAAGGACGACCGAATTTTGGAAGGTTATGTACAATAGTTTATGTTTGCATACTGTTTGTTGGTGATAACAATAACAATTCATATGACAACTTTATGCGATACACAGTTAATACTGGTTACAAATACATGGTTCCTGTTAGGAGTAATTGTGCAAACTTACTCCTCTATTTTCATTTAATCTCTTCCTCCTATGTATTTAAAGTTCTAGGGTTTTGTTTTGTTTTTTTCTGGAGCAGACTATTTCATTGTTAGCCTGCAGAGGAAACACAAAGAAGAGCAAACTAAATTCTCTTTTTTGTTTGTCCTTACCAGGATTGCTCAATGCTTCCTAAGGCACGCTCAACCCTCTGTAAAACCACTGCTACTGCTCTGCTCACGTTATACAAAAGAACCAGGGGCTCTACTCTTATCTGTAAAGCCTTCGGTTCCTGTTAGGAGTAATTGTGTAAACTTACTCCTGTATTTTCATTTGATCTCTTCCTCCTATGAATTTAAAGTTATAGGGTTTTGTTTTGTTTTTTTCTGGAGCAGACTATTTCATTGTTAGCCTGCAGAGGAAACACAAAGAAGAGCAAACTAAATTCTCTTTTTTGTTTGTCCTTACCAGGATTGCTCAATGCTTCCTAAGGCACGCTCAACCCTCTGTAAAACCACTGCTACTGCTCTGCTCACGTTATACAAAAGAACCAGGGGCTCTACTCTTATCTGTAAAGCCTTTATTATAAGTGACAAGATGCAAGAGAGAAATTTCAGTCTGATATTAAAATCAGCATTTTAAATGTACACGCAGCAATATTCAGGTTTTTTTGGTTTTCTGATAAAGCATATTTAATGTAGAAACCAACTATAGAAGTAATGTAACTCCTATAATGCTGTGATTGCTCTCTACGCTTTTCTCAGACTTCTGAAATTTTGATTGTATTAACATTTACCTCCAATAGAAGGAAAAGGATACATCAAGGTCTAGTAATTATTTTTCTAAGTTCTTAATAGAAAAAGAGAAGCTTTTCACGAAATTTTATTTCTGAAACAGTTATCTAGGCACAAACAAATGGATAAATGCTTAATAAAAAGACACACAAGCCTAGCTGGCACGGTATTATGGGGGTGGTGAGACACTGGCACAGGTTGCCCAGAGAAGCTGTGGCCCCATCACTGTAGGTGTTCAAGGACAGGCTGGATGGGGCTTGGAGCAACCTGGTCTGGTGGGAGGTGTCCCTGCCCAGGGCAGGGGGTTGGAACTGGATGATCTTTAAGGTCCCTTCCAACCCAAACCATTCTGTGATTCTATGTAATGATGTCAGTTTTCATTTCTGTTCTAGTTTTTAGGGTGATTTACGTTTTCAGAGCTGCATTTTTAGCTACATGTAGTCAAATTTCTAAATATGATTGAAAGATCGTACTAGTAAGCTTTTTTTCTCATTCTACAACTACAGCAAATCTGTAATGAGCTTTTACAAAAAGAAAGGGGTAGTTAAAAGAGACATACCCTCTCTGTAGAGGCCTTTTGTACATTCAAGATTTTAACTCCATTTGGCAGATGAAACTCATGAGTTTCGTAGTCTGTGCTGAACAAGGTATTTTGTGTCCGTGGGTCAACAAATTCCATGCCGATATCGCTGGTAATAGAAGTTTTGTCTTTTTCCACGCTAAGCTTGGTCGTGCCTTGCTGAAATACAATCTTCAGAAACAAAGTCATTAAGTTAATGACGTTTCAAATTCTTACGAATAATGTGAGTGTACTTCCACGGCGTTGCTCACAAAGTTTTAATTAATGACCTAACTTACAGGCTGATTATTTCCGGTGATCACCAAAGGGGTAGTTAAAAGAGACATACCCTCTCTGTAGAGGCCTTTTGTACATTCAAGATTTTAACTCCATTTGGCAGATGAAACTCATGAGTTTCGTAGTCTGTGCTGAACAAGGTATTTTGTGTCCGTGGGTCAACAAATTCCATGCCGATATCGCTGGTAATAGAAGTTTTGTCTTTTTCCACGCTAAGCTTGGTCGTGCCTTGCTGAAATACAATCTTCAGAAACAAAGTCATTAAGTTAATGACGTTTCAAATGAAATTCTTACGAATAATGTGAGTGTATTTCCATAGCATTGCTCACAAAGTTTTAATCGATGACCAGACTTACAGGCTGATTATTTCCGGTGATCACCAGATCTTCGTTACGTCTGCCTCCTACAGTGCTTTTGTACAAGGGATGTATAACGCCCATGTCGGAAACCTGCTTAAACCGCAACAAGCCGCTCTCGTGGAACTCCATGCTGTCACAGCCATTGGGACCGATTCGAATCACCGCCCAGATAACCAGGGTGATCTCAAAGAAAAACACACATTTTCAAAGATTACTTTGATCATTCGGACCTTCCCACAACAAATACGGTATTAACTAGGTATTCTATTTGAAATAATTATTAATGCCAGTGTTTAAGTGAGCTTTAGGCGTCAATTTACTTTAGTCTATTTAATTACTACCAGAAATATCAGGACAGTTTAATTATGGAAAGCATTTTACATGATTTTGTTAATTTACTTTAGTCTATTTAATTCCTGTTGGAAATATCAGGAGATGTTTAATTATGGAAAGCATTTTACATGATTTTTAGACTCATGAAATGGTCATCTGAAATGGTAACTACAACCATTTGTGTGTATATATATATATATATGAAATCAAATCATGTCCATAATTAAATCTTTTTCCTGTTTAAGGGTAACCGTGGTATCATCAGCTAAACAAATTTCCTGAACAAATGTACTTACCCCTGAGCTACTTCACAGGTGGATGTCCAATTATGAAAAATAATTAATTACTTCTCATTTATCAAGCAATAAAAAGGTGTTAGTTACAATGATCAAGCTTTAAAGCGCAGTGGCTGATTAATCCTGAATGCTCACGTGCAGCTCTGTTGTTATAAGTAAAATGTTCCTGGCGGAACAGTTTCTCCTGCATGTATTTGTACTGCACTAGTAACACTTGGCACGTTTGCCGTTCCTGAGTCTGGTGAATAGGGAGACCCTTTCAAGGTTCCCAATTCTGTGTTGCATAAATGGTAGGTTGCTTGCTGGGACTATGGTAACTGAATAATCATGACTGAACTTACAAGATTCTTCCATCTAATCTTGCTCAGACTACAAAACAAGGAAAAAAAAAAGGAGAAAAATAAGAAATCTCCTTCAGTACACTTTAAGTCCTTCTAAGACATACTGGCTAAGTTTTATTTCTGTAATAAACAGTCAAAGTTAAATTTGTCTTAATGTTGCTTACAGCCTAAATATTATACTCACTATAAGGTTGATGACAGCCAAAATAAAAAGAAGAACAATCACACAAATGGCCAAGTTGCCTTTCCGGCCACGTAAGCCTGTCTTGTGGAGACGGTCTTCATCAATTGGGATGTATCCTGCTTTAAAGTTACTGTTGTGCTCCTTATTAACGTTCCTGCGTTCCACAGCCTTCTCTCGCATAGACTTCTTCACCGGGCCATTAGAACTTTGCTACAATACAAAGCATAGATTTGCTGTTATAAATGTAAAGCCACTAAAATGATAAATGTGTGTATGCAAAAACCCATAAATTTCATTTGACTAGTGGAATATATTACCTAGTATATTCAATTTTATATTTCAGTCTGCCACTCTGTACTTAGAATACATTTCAAACCACTACAGTCCCTGCTAACACTATGACTAAAATTAAAATCCGGATATTTTCATACAACATAAGGTTTTGTATGTAATTTTGGCAAGTAGGAATTATTATTTTGTATGCAATAATACATGGCGAGTAGAAATTATTAATGACATAGTTACAGTAAAAAAAAATCAGCCGTAAAGAACTTCAAGTTTCTACCTCCTGGGGACAATACAGAACATAATCCTGCAGGTCATTTACCAACGCACAGGATTTTAGCTCCCTCCATGCTAATGTGGGATAGACTCTGAATGAATCTACCCAAAAGGAGTGTGGTGGACAGAGTTTCAAAGTGACTTTGACAGCACAGGGTTTGCATTCAGTTTCTGTTGCTTGCATGCAGTGTTAAGAAAAATAATGTAAGGCTTCAAACCTGGCACGGGCACCGTGGTCAGCCTGGTTTTAATTTAATCATTTGAAGTTAATAGATTGCAAGGGATATCTCTTCAAGGTGACGAATTACACGTCTTGTAGATACTTATAAGGAAAATAAACCTTTGACGTATTTTTGCAACTTTTCCAAAATTTTGTTCCACTTCCTTTGAATGGAACAGGTTGCTATTTAAGGGTTCGATTCTTCAAAGAAGGGGCTTTTTGATGGGATTAACTTTATTCATCTGAAATGAATCCTGAAGCTGCATCTTACGGTTACTGCATCCTCACGTGTCTAGACTGATGTAACTGGTAAAAACGTCATTTCCTTCCCTTACAAAAAAAATAGGAAACGGTGCTGAGAAAGTTGCTTGACCTAAACAGGTTTATGGGGGGCTTCCTCCAAATTAAACTCAGAACTGGCTCACCAGGGAAACTGAGAGAATCGGTCTGTGCTTTGGGGAAAAGCAAATGGAAATCTTGTACAACTGGACAGTAAGTATCTTGTCCTGAGGACAGTGGTCTGGGAAGGACGTGACTGTGAGGTAAAACTCCAATGCAGTTTTTTCACCTCATAAGGCAGGACAACAGAAGACAGCACCGGGACTGGGAGAACATGGTTGAAATGGTGATTGCTGGAACAAGCACCAGCACGGAGCACCCATGCAGAACTAGGCAGCCCTTCCCGTGGCACCCGAGACGGGGCTGGTGCAGGACCCCTCAGGAACCTGTGGCTCCCCACCTCCTGCCGCCATGTCCCCACACACACTGACTCCGATTAGGAGTCCTGTGGTGATACAGGAGCTCCCAAAAGATGAGCCCTTCAACAGCTCGGTTCTCCCTGCGGCTTGTGCGGCGCTGACAGAGTCCCTGTCCCTCCCCTCCCACCGGGTGACAGTGACACCCCCCCGCCGGCAAGTTTAGCTTTTCGCTCCCCTGTGAGACCTGGGGTGGGGAGCCCGAATGGAGCTTTGGCCTTATTTATCCACGGCCGGGCTCCCATTCCCGTGCCAGCCCAGCCAGGCCACTGACGGCACCGTCCCATAAATACCAACCTCCCATAAACACCGACCGCGGCTTTCCCGCCTCGCTAATTAGCAGCAAGTGCCTATTAAGCCAAGACAGTTACATTTCTCCGCAGAAACGCCACAACACTTTATTTCCAGAACAGAAAGTAGGGTGTTTGGTTTTTTTTTGCCAAGAGACCCTGCGGCTGTCAGGCCCCCACAGCGGGCTCGGGATCCCTCTCCCCCCCGGGCTGAGGCGGCTGCCGCCGCCGGGACAAGGCCGTCCTTCCCGGACAGCGCCGGGCCCGGCTCGGAATCGCCGTTTCTCCCCTCCCCGGTGGGTGCGAGCGGTGGGGGAGCCAGGGAAGGCCAGGGAGGCCCGTAGCGGCCCCCCAACGCCGGAGGGCTCCGGCACCAAAACAAACCTCGGCACCCGCAGCGAATAAATGGCACCCCCTCCACAAGCGACACCCCTCTCCCCCAGGCCGGATCGCCTGCTCCCGCCTCGCCCCGGCGGCGACGGTCCCGCCGCCTCCCCCGTGCCTGCGCCTCGGCGGGGACCGACCTGCTCGGAGGCGGCCGCCGCCATCTTCTCCCTCCGCCGGCGCCGTGGCGGGGTCGGAGGGCGCCCCCTGGCGGCGCGGAGAGGGCGGCTGTCGCCCCCGGGGTGCGGGCGGAGGTCGGTGCGGCTCCGTGAGGCGGGTCCGCCCCTCCGGTTGGGACAGGCGTTACCAGGCGGCCGTAGGAAGGCTTATCCATCCCCCCCACCCCGCACGTCGTTCGCCCCGTTACCACAACCCAGGCGCGCCCTGCCCGCGTTGCCGTGGCACCCGCTGCCGCGCCGGGCCCGGCCCCGCGTTACCATCGCGATTATAAAGGCGGCGCGAAAGCGGCGCCGCCCGAAGAGCATCGGGCCCCGGGCCGGCGGTACCACCTCCATCCCGCGCCGCCGGCCCGCGGAGGGCTCCCGGGGTAGGGGACACACACACATATAAACACACGGACGCAGCCCATCCCATCCTGTCCCAACCCCGGGAGCGAGCGAGCGAACAGCTGGCCATGGCCGACGGCTTGAGGCGGCTGGTGGGCGCGGAGAGCGGCCGGGTGCTGCAGGAGAAGCTGGAGAGCTGGTACCGGGACTACGAGGTGGGCCCTCGGCGGCGGGGGATGCGTCTCCGCTCGGGGGAGGGCGCCGTGAGGGAGGGCTGCCCGCCTCATCCCGCCGGCCCGGGGGGAGCGAGGGGCCGCGGGGCGCGGGCAGTGCCGGGCCGTGAGGCCGTTTCCGCGGTAACGGTGGGACGCGGAGCGGCGGCGGCCCCCGGCGCCTCCCGGGGGACCATTAGCCCCGGGGCAACCGAGCCTTGCGGGTTCAAAGGGCCGGTCTGGGACGCTGACCCGCACCTCCACCCAGCTATCACCATTTTAGCACCCGGTGCCTGCGGCGGTCACGGCTTTGGATGTTTTCTTTCTGCCTTTGCCTGTGTCAGGGCTGGCTGGGAGCAAGGCCTGGTGGTTGAAAGTGCTGCTTGAGCCGTGTTAGGGTCTGAGAAACCCACAATTTATTGTCCTTTAGGCAGATTATTCTGTCACCCAGTGACACCTCCCCACCCGGGAGAGGGAATGGGGGGAAAAACAAGGAAACAGGAGAGCTGAAATATAAATAGATTGAATAGGATAAGACTAGATAATTAACAGTAATAATAAAGAACCAGTATTGATCCCGATACTAATATAAAATACAGCAGGATCATACTCAGCCCATTCTATCACAGGAGGCTGTGAGCTCCCAGCAGGGGACAGTGAATGTGGGGACGAGAAGGATCATACTCAGCCCATTCTATCACAGGAGGCTGTGAGCTCCCAGCAGGGGACAGTGAATGTGGGGACACTGCGAGAGCTGCGGCTTCGGGAGGAAGGGAAGGGCTCATGCTCCCAGCAGGGGACAGAGAATGTGGGGACACTGCGAGCGCTGTGGCTTTGGGAGGAAGGGAAGAGCTCAGGGCAAGGGGATCTCTGGACCACTGCCATCAAGGGAGAGGAAGGGGTTCTCTGAACCACTGCCATCAAGGGAGAGGGAGAGGACTACACAGCAAACCTTCTAATGTGTATTGAACGTGGCATTCATGGTATGAAATAATCCTGTTGTTATGTATTGAATGTGGTATTCATGGTATGAAATAATCCTGTTGGCCAACTTGGGTCAAGTGCCCAGGTCTCACTCCTCCTCATCCCTGCACCTGGCAAGGCTTGAAAACACTGTGACCTTGAATCCCACGTAGCCCGGCTGGCTATAAAGTAAATATTGTCACAAATTCAACCATTAGAGTCTTCTAAGAGTGCAGTTTTCCCAAACATTAGAAGAGAAATGAGTCAGGTGTTGCTCAAATCAGGACATGCTGTAATGACTGAGTCTGGATCAGGAAAGAGTTTTGTGGTAAAAGACCAGCAGCTGGGAGGACCCTGAGTGAGGGTGGGCTCAGAAGGAATTGCCTGTGGCTTGGGAACAGTCAGGAAAACATGAGGAGAAAGGATGTTGAAAGTGAGAACGGGGTTATCCAGCAAGCATGAGGAAAGAGTTTCAGATATGAGTGAGGAGAAGGCTGCAGATGGATGTAATGGTATGCATGGAGGAGGAAGAGGTAACAGTGAGTCAGGTGTTGCTCAAATCAGGACATGCTGTAATGACTGAGTCTGGATCAGGAAAGAGTTTTGTGGTAAAAGACCAGCAGCTGGGAGGACCCTGAGTGAGGGTGGGCTCAGAAGGAATTGCCTGTGGCTTGGGAACAGTCAGGAAAACATGAGGAGAAAGGATGTTGAAAGTGAGAACGGGGTTATCCAGCAAGCATGAGGAAAGAGTTTCAGATATGAGTGAGGAGAAGGCTGCAGATGGATGTAATGGTATGCATGGAGGAGGAAGAAAGGTCAGGAGACTGAGAAGCCAAAACAGCAGAAGCAGTAGAAAAGGTGTAAAATAAGGGAAAGATGAGATGAAGAGACCTGAGATTTGAAAATTGTGAATTTTCTTAGCGGAAAATCTTGACAGTGTTCTTACTCCCGTGTCCCCAGTTTTCGTTAGGTTCAGGACACTGATAGTTGTTTTGGTCACAAGCCTGTAACTATCTACCTTGTGCTATGGTTGGAGAGAAAAGGTGCTGTGCAGAAATGCAGCCTTTTCAAGGGAAGTCAGTTCTTTTTTTACTTCGTGGTATGTAGGAGTTACTGTCCCCAGTTTTCGTTAGGTTCAGGACACTGATAGTTGCTTTGGTCACGAGCCTATAACTATCTACCTTGTGCTATGGTTGGTGAGAAAAGGTGCTGTGCAGAGATGCAGCCTTTTCAAGGGAAGTCAGTTCTTTTTTTACTTCGTGGTATGTAGGAGTTACAGCATATTAATAACCAGTGTAGCTCTCTGCAGGATTCATGGCAAAGGATGGTTGTAAGGAAGAGTTTGAGTGTAGCTGGTAAAGCTACCCCAGAGTAAAGGACTCCAGAGGAGGAATAAGAGAGGCATGTGTTTTAAAATATTGCAAATGAATGATGGAGGTAGACCTCGGGAGAGATAAGCAATAGTGGGAGCTGAACTCTTCATCGTAAGTGAAGGGGAGGTAGTCTCTGAGGTCTTGGGAAATGAAGCCATTTCAGACTGCCGTTGCTGAAAAGGAGGATCTGGCAGATGGAAGCACCATGGGTGTCATGTCTGTGTAATGGGCTGGAAAAATGCACTTTGCCGTGGTGTTCTGGTGGAGGTTAGCAGGGTGAGACTGTGCTCCTCAAGGCCAGAGGAACGCATGTTGCAGGAACCAAAATGCAAACTGACAGGGACACAGGTGGGACAGCAGTTTTAGCTCTTTTGGAAGCTTGTAAAAACCATATGGAGCCATTAAAGCCTGAAGACCTAGAGGGTGATCGACGCTAAAGATGATACAGAGGTTACAGATAAAGATTAAGGAAGCAGGTTGAAAGTACATGTTCTCCTGGCAGGTGCAGTAGCATCCCAGGCAGATTAATCCCATCAACTCCTTTTCAGAATTGCATTTGCTGAAAGTGCTGTAGTTTTGTTCTGTTGTTTCCCAGGCATGATGCTGGATTTTGCCCATTATTCAGTAGTTGTTTTAGTGAGTAACTCTTAAAAATCAGGTGAAGTTGCATGGAGGCCTCATATGGCAAAGGAAGATAATAGCCTTATATGTATTATTTCAGTTAATATAAAAAATCAGATTTTGGACTAATACATTTTTTAATCCAACAATTTCCTATTTTATTAGTTTAAAAATTCTGGGTTGAAAGATTTTAACACGGATCTGCATTTATTATGATTATTCTTTTAGAGATATTTGTGATTCCATCTTCTTTATGAAGGGGGAAAGGAATAAGTTTTCTCAAGTAGTGAATTAACTGGGTGATAGAAATCCTGATGTCTTTGTTCTAATGTTTGCCTATTAGCAATGTGAAGCTTTTAAGGATGAGTATCAGGATCACAGAATAGCTTGGGTTGAAAGGGACCTTTAAAGGTCATCTGGTCCAACCCACTCCCCTGCAATGAGGAGGGACATCTTCAACTAGATCAAGTTGCTCAGGGCTCCATCCAACTTGACCTTGAATGTTTTCAGGGATGAGGCATCTACCACCTCTCTGGGCAACCTGGGCCAGTGTTTCACCACCCTCAGTGTAAAAAATTTTTGTTCTATCTAGTCTAAATCTTCCTCCTTTTAGTTTAAAGCCATTAATCCTTGTCCTATTGCAACAGGCCCAGCTCAAAAGTTTGTCCCCATCTCTCTTGCAGGCCCCCTTTAAGAACTGAAAGGCTGCAATAGGGTCTCCCTGGAGCTTTCTCTTCTCCAGGCTGAACAACCCCAGTTCTCTCAGCCTGTCCTTATAGGAGAGGTGCTCCAGCCCTCTGATCATTTGCAGATGCAGTAAGAAAAGGTTGTGAAGATGTAATTATAGGGGGAAAAAAAATGTCATTATCATAACAGGAATAATTTTAACTAAGAAAGCCCAGACAGATGTATTAATACACATTAATTTACAGATTAATTCCTGTGATCAGAATCTGAACCGATGCTGTGAAATAATAGAATTGAACTCTAAGATTCAAGGGCAGCTCTTCACAATCCTAAATGAAACATCTCAAGAAGGTAAATCAGTGCCTTGTCTTATTACTAACACATTTCACATGTGTCATTTTTTCAAGCCCTGACTGTTTCTGTATGTGTTCTCAAAATTTCTTAATGTATATATTTTCTTAGGTGGGCATTATGCAGGTGTGGAAACAATAAAAACTCGTCTCCTGCCATGGCTAGGGACTTGTTTTTCCTGTGCTTCTTCAGGAAAGCTCTTTGAAACCAACCTCTCTCTCACTCAGGTATGTAAGAAATTTATATTAAGGGAGTAGAGCAGTGTGAATGTATACCTACAGAAGAATTTTAGTGACTTTCTGTAAATAATAGTCTCCCTCCCTGATTTTGCTTTATGAAATGTGTCCTTAGTTGCTCATGGAGACAACTATGCTATTTGTCTGTCTCATCTTACATTTCCTCTGAAAGGGAAATCAAAGAGGTCATTAAGGTTACTTTTGTCCTTCTACGTTTCACAATGAGTGACAATATGAAGGAATTTGCTTTATAAGAGAAGCTATGTTCCTCTACTGCTTTCCCATTCTAGGTGGAGAATTATGCTACATTTACATTTGCAAAGACGTCTTAGTGATATGGCATAAATACTTCTATTAGTAAAAACCTAACACTGTGAAAATACATGAGTAAGCTGAAGGTGTGTACAAAACTCCATGCATTTTTCTGTGAGCTCCTTTTATTTTTTTGAAGAAAAAAAGGTAATACCTTAGTTCAGTATCTGAGCACTATAATATCTCCAGAAGGGGGGTGGTGTGGGTGGAAAAGTGCTCATGTCCATCATGATACCACCACGCAGCTAACTTGATGTTTGGAGTTAGTATATATTTGGTATTTACTGAAGGGGTTGTAGTACTGACAGTTTGGCAGGAAAGACAGATCTGCTGTGATTTTATGATTTGAAAGAAGACAAGAGTGTTGGTTCATGCAGACTAAAGGAAAATGTTGAAGATCTTGAGATTTAAGTGATGTCTTCATGTTTTCTGACTTCTCATTTTTACAACTCTACTGTCAAAATCTTTCACAATTAATTAAGAACAAATGAAAAATTATGTTCTTTATGAGTCAGGTTCCAGTGTGTTGAAGGAGTAGGGTTCTGCCAAAAAACCTGAAAATGTAAAATAATGGTGTTACTAAGTGATGGTGCAACAGTTATGGATTTGTCATTGCATGTGACATTCAAAATTTTAAAGAAGAGTCTGCTGCACAGTTATCTATTTCGTTCTTGAGTATCAGGCAACTCTATAAGATGTTAAAGACAGAGCTGCACATGTGGTAGTGTGCTTTCTGGAATGACAGTAGCTGCCTCCTCTGTTCTAATAATTTTTGCTGTTATTTTGTGAACATTAATTCCCAAAAACTTTACTCGAGTTGATGATAATAGTCAGAAGCTAGCTGACTGGAAAAAAAATCCATGTGGCAAATCTGCAAGAACACTTTGTGTAGACAGGTAGTAAATCTGCATATGCAGACTTTCCACATTCTCTATCATGAGGTATAAATGAAGTGAATATTTTTCCTAATATAATTGAGTCTATTTTCTGTGCCTGGAAGGTATCGGTTATGTGTCCAGAGGGTATCTAATTGATTTTGTTTTCAAGTACTTCAGAAATGTTCTTTACTGAAATATGTAGAAGCATGTCTACTAATAATGCTGTACTACCTTGTGAAGGATTCTGTAAGGTAGAATGTTCAAGCAGCGTGATTTTGTGTTTTGTTGTAGGATTCAATTGAGAGGGAGAGGCAGCTGAGAAAGCTGGCCAACAATCAGAGTTTTCAGCTGCAAGAGCTGCAGGAAGAACTGACTTCAACTCGTCTACAGCTCAACCATGTGCAACAAGAGTAGGGGAATTAACTGTGATTCCTTTTGTTTGGTTGGTTTTTGCTTTTCAACAACAAGCCATATTTTTCTCCTGACATCTAAATGCTGATGGAAATTTGTGAAATGTTTAATTTCTGGCTTAAAATCAGAGCTTCAAAAATCCATCTACGCTCTGGGTTGTCTGTGTGTGTCCAAAGTGGAGTACAAGTGATAGAGTCATAGCTGCATTCATAGATTGACTCGATCGGTTTTACTTGTGGCAGAGGATTTTGAAAATATGCCAGTACTGTGAACAAAAGGGTTTTCTATGGTGCATGACCATCCCAATGGAATCATAGTCGATGGAATGTTGCATGCTGAGCAAACCTTGATAAAAATCAGTCAAGTAGCTATAGTGCAATATTTACTGAAGGACCTACAATATGTCATAATTAGTTATGGTATGCAATCGGTATGTGAACGTCTAAGAAGTTCAAGACCCACAGTGGTACAATGGAGTGAGAAAGACAGATTTTTCAATAAAGTTACTAGGACTGAATTGTCTTTGTCCACTTGCATAAAACAGTTTGTGGAACACTGTAGTCTCAAAAGGACTCAACTGCTTCAGAAAGAAATTTGTGCTGTTAGTGCCACTTCCAGGGCCGTTTTAGAGGTAGCTCCAAGTGACAGACACTTTCTCATGCATCCTATTAGCATGAGATCAATGAGTGTTCACAGTCCTGGGGTCACTACAATAAGCGATATAATTTAATGCTCTTCTTAAGTGGTTCCAAGAATCGGAACTACAAACTGTATTAGCTAGATTAGAGGAAAGAGGTTCAATAGAATATTTCATCCTGTTTCCTAATCTTCAGATAACTCCTGCTTTCATAGAATTGTAGAATCACAGAATGGTTTGGGTTGGAATAGACCATCAAAGATCATTTGGTCAAACCCCTCTGATGTTGGCAGGGTCATCTTCCAATAGACCAGGTTGCTCAAAGACCCATCCAGCCTGACCTGGAACACTTCCAGGGATGGGGCATCCACAGCTTCTCTGGGCAACCCATTCCAGTGAGCACCCTCATTGTAGAGAATTTCTTTCATATATCCAGTCTAAATCTTCTCTCTTTTAGTTTAAAACTGTTACCCCTTGTCTTATCACTAGGGGTAAAAGGTAAAGTCTCTTTCCATCTTTCTTATAAGCCCCCTTTAAGTATTGAAAGGCTGCAGTAAAGGTCTCCCTGAAGCCTTCCTTTTCCAGGCTCAACAATCCCAACTCTCTCAGCCTTTCTTCACAGGATAGATGTGCCAACCCTCTGATTTTTGTGACCTCCTCGGGACCTGCTCCAGCAAGTCCATGTCTGTCTTGTACTGGAGACCCCAGAGCTGGATGCAGTGGTCTCTCACGAAAGGGGAGTAGAGGGGGAGAATCACCTCCCTTGACCTGCTGGTCATGCTTCTTTTTCTGCAGCCCAGGATATGGTTGGCTTTCTTGCCAGCTCATTTCTAGTTTTTCGTCTACCACTATCTCCATGTAATTCCTGGCAGGGCTGCTCTTAATCTGTTTTTTTTCCCTTCAGTTTATACTGGTGATTGTCCTGACCCAGGGGCACTTGGCCTTGTTGAACTTCATGAGATTCACATGTGCCCACTCCTCAAGTCTGTCAATGTCCCTCTGTATGGCATCTGTTCCCTCAAGAGTATCAACTGCACCACACAGCTTGGTGTCATCCACAAACTTGCTGAGAGTGCATTCAATTCCACTGTCAACGTTATTAATAAGATACTGAACATTAGCAGTCCTCATACAGACCCCTGAGGGACACCACTTGTCATTCATCTCTTTTTGGACATTGAGCTGTTGATTACAACTCCTTGGGCGTGGCCATCCAGCCAATTCCTTATCCATCAATTACTCTGTCCACCAAATCCATATCTCTCCAATTTAGAGAGAAGGATGTTGTGTGGGAATGTGTCAAAGGCCTTACAGAAGGCAAGGGAGATGACATGAGTTACTCTTCCCTTACTCACCAACTCATGTTAGTATCTGTTATGTTTCATCTTGGATGAAGGCAGGAATTCTAATTTTTCACCATCAGAAAAATCTCTCATTCAACTATGAGTCAGTTAAAGATCAGTGAAAAGAAGGTAAGAGGGCACAGTGTACATTAAGTATCAAAAGTGACATGGTGGGATGGAGAAGGACCACACAACATTTGGAAGAAGAGAGAGGTTTTTTGTTCTTAGCATTTCAACTGGTTTCCCAGGATTAGGGTAATCTTGCAAAAAAAAATTCAGCCTGGAAGGTTTAGTAAGCAAAGGAGTTGTTTTCTGTTGATTTTTCTAACTATAGAGAAGAGTTATGGGAGACTGGTAGATCTCATTAATTAATATACCTGAAAGGAGGGTGTAAAGAAGATTGACCCAGGCTATTTCCACTGGTGCCTGGTGACTGCACCAGAGGCAGTGGACACAAACAGGACACAGTAAGTTTCCTCTGAACCTCAGGAAACCTTTTTTTTTATTGTGACATCTCCGTCCTTGCAGATATTCAAAAGCTGTCCGGATGTGGTCCTGGGCAACCAGCTCTAGGTGGGCCTGCTTGAGCAGTGGTGTTGGACCAGATGACCTCCAGAGGTCCCTTCCAACCTCAACCCTTCTGTGGTTGAGATATGTATGAAGGTTGTTTTAGGGGTGAGGCATTTCATCCTATGCTCCTGTGTGGATAGAAACAGATTATTTGATGAGCTGGAGAAAAGTGTTGAATGGTCAAGGTGAGAAGTCCAAGGGAAGTTACTCACTAATATGGACTGGAGTGAGTGTGTGGCAGTTTGCAGTACAGGAGAAAGTCATTTTGGGCTAGTTCCTGTGAGAATTGGGGAATCAATGGTAAAGCTTTTGTGAGTTGCATTTCTCTGTGCAGTCAGGTCAGAGAGGCTTTGGCTGTGGTTTGCAAAGGTGGGTTGGGAAGAGGTAATTCAAGCAGAGATGAAGCCATGCATGATAGTTTCAGAACGGATCCTTTCAAGGAGATGCAATACGGAGTCCTGATTGTGTAGCTATTGGCAGGCAGGGGACCAGTGCAGGAGAAAGAGAGTTCGTGTCCCAAGATACCCCACCTCTGGACAATGAAGTCATTCTGAATGCTGTAAATTGATGAAATCAAAGGAGAAACTGGAATTGAGTCTTAATGAAAAATAATGGGTCATAGCAAAATCGTTCTGTTATTATGTAGTCAGATATAACTTTTTGTAAGCTATTGGTGTGCTGCTAGTCTGCACAAAGCCCACAGTGATTGTTTTCAAATGTTAAATTGGTATGGACTTGATCTGCTTAAACAGTCCGTTTGTCATATTCTCTGGTAGAATCTCTGCCTTTACCTTGAAGGTTATTAATTTTTCTTGCAGTCTGGCAAAAACCCAGTTGGCTCTTGAAGACACAAAGACCAAATCAGCCAGTACTCTTTTGGCAGCGGAAGATGCAATTGTTCAGCTAAAAACAGCGTAAGAAAAATTGAATCTTGGTGTAATTATGGCAGAAAATCAGCATGTGGAGACACAGTCCGTCATTTACCTGAACAGGTTCTGGTTATTCTGCACTGTCCTATGCTATAGCAAATAATAGGTCTAGCTTCTTCACATCCTGTAGCTTTGCTTCTTGGTGTTACAGAGGGAGAATTAGCATAAGTAGATTCACATGAGAAGAACCCTTATGGCTGAACTTCTTTTTTTCTTTAGAACGGAGGAAGGATTGCTTTGAAAGTAGCAGCTTTATAGCATTTGAATCCTGTAGATGAAGTTAAATAGGAGAGAACCATCTACTGAATAGAGCCAGAAACCTTTCTTTGCAATTTGCTATGATGCTCTTGAAAGTAGTGTGTGTGTTAAGAAAAAGACACTTCAGTCTGTCTGCCTTAAGATAAAGTTCTTTATACAGCTTTCTTTTAGAACATTTTTGCCAAATCCTTTTGTCTGTCACACAGAAGTAATGGCTATTGGTAATGTTGATGTCTCTGGTTTAAAAATGTTTTTTGAGTTTCTAAGTGTGTTGGTCACATCTGAGAAGTTAATCTGGATCAGTAAGGGTGTGGCTGGGGAACCTACATTTCCATCTCAAGACAGGAATCCGTAGAACTAATTTCCTTTTGTGACTTGACCTACAAGCAGTTCTAGAAGCAGTAATAATTCTTCACTGTAATGACATGGTTTGGTTTGTTTTTGTTTTTGTTTTTTTTGTGTGTGTGTGTTATATTATCAGAAAAGAATACAAAGGTGTTTGAAATTAATTCCAACAGCATGTTAATTCTTGTGGTAACTGACACTTCAACAATGGAAATATAGTCATACTCTAAATAAATGCTTGCAGCCTTTCAGTTAAATAACATTGCTGCTCTTAAAAATGGAGGAAACTTGACTTTGCTGCTTAATCTGTATGGAAGGATGTAACTGTCCATGAGTTTATCTTTCTTTTTAGGGCAACTGAGAGGATGAGTCACTCCTCATAACAATAAGCAATGAAAAAAACCTCAGTTAGTTAGGGTTTTTACTTCCACTATCAAGTTGAATATCACTTTTTCATCTCCAGATGTTTATCATTGTTTCTAGAATAATGTTAATTGTCAGATTTTACCCATGGAATTTCCTAGCAAGTGTTGATCTCTTTGGATTTTAATTTTTTGGATGGCTACCTGGTGTATAAACTCTTATTCCTATGAAATAAGCCCTTTTTGATTTGTTGGGTGAAAAGTAGCTCATATAACTCCTTGATTCTTAGATATAACCTGACTGCTGTCTTCACGATTAGTAGGATTATTAGTGGGATATAAAGCATCTCACAATTCCTGTGTGTAGATCTTAACACAAACTGGACAGAAACTCCTGTTGCCATTTGTGCTGATAGAAAAGCAAAACATCCCTGTCTTCCTGCGAATTCAGGAATTCCGTAATCTCCACATACTTAAGGTTCACATTCGCTCTCAGTTTGGTTGACACTCTGCACTTGCGTCTTCTGCCTGGGCACTCAACTTTTGGTTGACGCAAAGGTGCTATTTTTCATGCTCTGTGAATCATTTTTTCAAAAATGGAACTCTTTTAGTTGGGTGAAATCAGATTTGCCTAGTCTTCACCTGCCTGTCAAAACCAAATCCTTCTAAAAGTAGAGAAAGTGAGGTCAGGACTGATCTCTGACACTTAGGACAGGATTGATATTTTTTTATTATTTTTTAATTTTCTTTTACACAAGGAACAGTTTGCCAGGAGTGTCCTTTGCATCTTTGTCTGTAAACTTGGTTTTTTAAACTTTTGAAATAGTTGATGATGGAATGATCTCATTCCTCTTGTCTACAGTCTGGCTGTCTCACATACTTAAATCAAAGCATGTTTTGCAAGACATCTTGGTCTCCTGGGCTGTTAGAGAAAACGTGCTCTAGACTCAACTTAATTCAATTCTATAGCCGGTATAAGTTGTTGTTGCATTAACATATTAATTGTAACAGGGTTTAGCTATTTGCTGCAGAATTATGAAGGAAAATACAAATTTTTAAAGTTTAAAAGGAATTGGAAGTTATTCAGGGGCAGACAAAAAATATAGTGTACTGAAACCTGTTGTTATATGCAGACTGAACAAAATCCTATTAATACTATTATAAATAGAAGCTTACTACTAGGGTGCTTAGCCTCGTGCCAAGGTCTCATCGAGCTTAAAGTCAGACAACTCACTTTGAAGTAAATGAGGTCAAGAGGACATTTTCTTGATCTGCTGAATGGAGAACCTGTTATATGAATTGGCAGGAAGAAATTTTGACAAACATGTTTGTAATTATTAACAGCCAATATGGTAGCTTGAATTGGTTACCTTAAGACCTTGTGGTGTTAGTGTTGCAGGGGGGCTCTTAAAAATAGATTAAACAGGCATCTGGCCCAAAATGACATAGATGGAGTTATTCTTGCCTTGAATTTCAAGGCAATCTGAGTGAATGAGTTGGGTTTAGCCCAAGGACTGGGGGAACTGTGAGGGACTTTATCGTTAATGAATTGTTTGAAACTGGAGGGTAGCAGTGGGCTGCTTTATCCAAACAAATCATTCTGTGGTTCTGTGAGTCGGCTGCTTTATCCAAACAGCATTAAGCAGATATTTGACACACATTCTCAAGGCTTATTGTATTTTCTCCTGAGAAACTGGCTGAAGAGACCTATTGTATTTTTAAATTGTTAGATTGAGGGGTTTAAAACACTAGTTATAGCCTTAAAAAAAAGTGGGTTATAAAAACCCACTGTTCTACTTGTTTAAGAACTATATTTTGCCTTGCTTGTTTCCATTATTTTTTTTTGGTAACATCTACATCTCTTTAACCTTACAGAAAGATGATAGTACTCTCTTCATTTCAGATTATTATTTAGCAGTAGAGTGAATGAACAATAAAGCAAGGGAAACTGATTTAATTAGCATGGAAAGGATTAATGTTAAGGCTTACAAAACTCAGCGTGGGTAATTCATAAATGTGTCTGTCTTAATGTTGTTTTTTTTTTTCCCTTTTGGTGTTTAGTTTTTCTTACAAAGAGAGAAACATTGATTTTCAGTGGTAGCCTTTCTTATGTTTGTGACTTACCATATAACTTGTGATGAACAATGAAAGATGCAAGTATTTCTGCTGGTTTCAGTCTGTCATATGCTCTCCTGTTTTTTAGAGGGTTTTGGGTTGGTTTTTTTCACCCCTCTCCTGATAGATCTATTATTAAGTGTCTGTATTTGTAATCATTATCTGCTGTCATGATGAATAGATGAAAGCTTTGTGGATCTCACAGCAGTGAGATAAGGAACATCAAAAATTGCTTTAGAACTTTCTGAAAAATCCCATCTGAATAGGGGTAAATAAAGAAAAAGTAATAATTTCACTCCTGTATTTTCTTTTTGTTATCTTTTCTCTAGGATAGCTATTAACACTGCATTGTTTGTCTATAATGCAATATATGCATCTATAATGGCAATTTAAGGAAGGTCTGACTAGTATTGTGCTTTTTTCACCTTTTTTTGTTTGGTTGGTGCATAATGATTTCCCCCCATCTCTGTCTCTAGAACTTGTCTTCCCAAACCTGCTTTCCTTTCCCAGTTGTTCTTTAAATTAGAATTTTTTAGCCCTCTAGGACTCTGCTAAAGTCCCCGCTGGAGCAGCTGACTAAGGATGCCCATGGCAGTGTAATAGTATCTGCAGCTTTTCCTACCCGGATATAGAAGGACAGTCTTTCCTCTTAGCAGATGTGCTGGCTTTACTACCTGTGGTCCTCTCTGTCACCCTGCTCCTTCAAAAGTTGGAACAGGAAGCTTGTCAACCCATAGGTGCTACAGCTTCCATTGGTTCAGATCCTCAAAAATCCCAGAGTCCTTCAGTAAAGGAAGGACTGACTGAATGCCCCCAAAATTAATAGGAAGCATCCATTTGTAATTATTTTTCTTTTGGAAGAAAGCAAACAGCAGCACTGTGTTAGGAAGGAAAGCAGAGATGCTGGGATACTTTCTAACGTTAAGTAAGAGTAAAGAACAGAAGATAAACTTGCTTAATGGGTTGTCTGCCAATGTTTAAGAAACACCACTTCTCTTGGGGAGAGCAGGGATGGAATCTTTTGATACTGCTTGAATAACACCATCAATTATATCCTTTGAGTGACTGATACATTCCAGCAAAGAAAAGAACCTGAGGACCTGACATAAGAAAATACCTAGAGTCTTGAACTGCAGGAAAGAAAACTGAGCTGGTTTACTTATTATCTTAAATATGAGAAAGAAACGGGTTTCTATCTTTGGTCTCATCATCTGAGCTTGTGCAAGGACACCAAATGTTCACCGGGGATCTCTCCTGTAACATAAAGTGTAGTGTATCCAGTCTCCTGCCCCAGTACACTTCTACTTTTCAAAGTGTAATTAAGAGTATGCTTTGGAGTATGTATTTTTTTTTAAAACTCTTTATTCCCTGTATTTCAGCATAAGGAGCTTGATCAATATTTCTCCTCTTTTCCTGTTCTTTCCGTTTGATGAGGAGGATTAATTGATAGATGATTTGCGTTGGTAGAAGGACATCTTGTGACTGACTTTATTCTGTGTGGTTAAGTCTGAAGACTTCCCGTGCCCAAGAGAAGGATGCCCTGTGGAAGTTAGAACGTCTGAATGACTATGAGCAGCAGATTCAAATACTGCGGGATGAGATTTCTATCCTGGATGCCCAAAAGTCTGTTCTCCAGAGCAGGTAGAGGCATTATTCAGAGAAGTCACAGAATTGTGACAGAGAAATTGTTCATGTTAGGCAGCATGAATTCCCTCCGCATTTGAAAATGAGGTATAAACAAAAGCTAAGCTTTTGTACTTTGTTATGAAGGGACATAAACTCTTTAACTGAATTCTCTAGTGCCCAAATGTTTTAATTTCAGGCAGCTATGTGAAGTTTCTGGCAAAACAGGAATGAGAGCAGCTTTACAAAACATTGAGAGCAGCTGTACTGGATAAAAGGAGATATTTTTTTTTTGTTGTTTATAGGTCCTCTTTGAATACCATACCGTTACAGGGCAGAACTTGTTCTTATATTCTCACTTGTCTGACTTTACAGCTCTTCAGTGGTGCTGAAAGAGAAACAAATCTCCAAAGTATTACTATTAATGGAATCAGAGAATTGTCTAGATTGGCAGGGACCTTTTAAGATCATCTAGTCCAACCATCAACCTAATTCTGATAAAAACCATCACTAAACTGTATCTCTAAGCACTATGTCTACCCATCTTTTAAATACCTCCAGAAACGGCGCCTCAACAGCTTCCCTGGGCAACCCATTCCAATGCTTAATAACCCTTTCAGTGTAAAAATTTTTCCTAATATCCAATCTGAACCTCGCCTTGTGCAACTTGAGGCCATTTCCTCTTGTCCTAGGACCTGTGACTTGGGAGAAGAGACTGACCCTCGCCTCTCTACACCCTCCTTTCAGGGAGTTGTAGAAAGGTAGTTCAGAAAGTTGTGTATTTACAAGTGTGTTTCCCCAGAAGAAAACGCTTGGCTGTACACACATTAGGAATTACTTTAATCAGAATCACAGAATCTTCTAGGTTGGAAGGGACCTTAAAGATCATCTTGTCCAACCGTCAACCTAACTCTGCCAAAAATAGACACCCACACAGCAAACAAGGAGCATCATCAGTAAACCATGCTTCCCAGCACTACATCAACCCGTCTTTTGAACACCTCCAGGGATGGTGCCTCAACCACCTCCCTGGGCAGCCCATTCCAATGCCTGATAACCCTTTCAGTGAAAAAAATTTTTCCTAATATCCAGCCTGAACCTCCCCTGGCACAACTTGAGGCCATTTCCTCTTGTCCTGTCGCCTGTGACTTGAGAAAAGAGACCAATCGCCACCTCTCGACACCCCCCCTGCTGGTACGTGCAGAAAGCAATAATGTCTCCCCTCAGCCTCCTCTTCTCCAGGCTGAATAATCTTATTGTTCAGGCTCTAGCCCATAAAACGTATTGACACAAATGCCTTCATATTCGACTAAGCGGCTGCAGCTTCACTTAATTACATTGGCTCAAAAATCTCAGCTCACCCCGGTAATAACTGAATTGACACCAAACTCTGCACTATGCAGAAACATCTGAGGATGGTGAAATGACCTCATGTTTCTTTACCTGTCTGTCCTAGGCTTGCGCGGAGCCGCTCTCCCTCCCCGAGGCGCGTTGAGAACAGGTCACCGAGCCCCCCTTGCCTGAGGAGCTGCTCTCCCGGCCGAGCCAGGCGGACAAACGCTTCGCGTCGCGCCTGCCTGATCGCTCGCTTCGGTGACATCTACGCTGAAGAACGCCTGGACGCAGAGACCCTTCTGAGGACGTACATCAGTGACATGGAGATGGTGCAGAGAATAATATACATTGCAGCTGTGGTAAGAAAAAAAAATAGTTTTTCTTGGTTTACAGGCTAGAAGTGTTTTATGAAATACTACAGCTGGGTTAGATTAAATGGTGTGCAAATTAGCATTTCTATGAAGTATGGAGAAGAAAACATCTCTTTTTTTTTTTTTTTTTCCCCTTTTGATTTTCCTTTCTTTCCCTCACACTTTTACGTTGAACTCCCAATTTAGTGTCCTTTTCTGACTGTCCTGTCCCAACATTTGGACAGGGTTGAAGATTCTACAGTACAGGTGCCAAAAAAAGGTGCATAAGAAGACTGAATGGCTCTGAAAGGTAGATGATTCCTGCACTAATCAACACCGCCTCATTTAGTTGAGTTCTTTTGGGAATACTACGTTTTAGAAAGCTAAAAATCTCGCCATATCATGCTTCCCTCCTACCTGTAGCTCTGTGCTTTTCTAGTTTTATTGGGTCCCTTGAAATTACCTTGATACTTCACATTTACTGTGAGCTCAGTCTGAAGAAATTTGTTTTCATTTTTCTGTACTTAATCTTCTTTTCTATACAATTGATGTAGTGTGTACCTGTGTCAGAGAGCTGGTGTGTAAATTTATTGATTTATTTCTTTTTTACCACAACTGTTATTCAATTAACACTCTCCAGCTCAACCTTTCTTCCCAAGAGACAAGAGGTGCTCCTGGCCAACATGTCAGGCTGTGGCACATAAAAGGCTATTACTTGGCTCTGCTCTTCATGTCTTTGAATGTGATTCCACTGATTGTTGGTGTGTGGTGGAATTCTACATAAAAATAGAAGGTTATGTGGGAAGCTTTTCAATGCTGTCTTCTGCAGATAAATGATTTAATCAGAGAAGTCTGCCCAGATGAGTACTATTTTTAACTTTCACTTTTACAGCAGCGTTTTGTATTCCTCCTTAAAATGATGATACTAGATTAAGTTCATCCTCTCAGATAATTGATTAAAAAATTAATCTCAGTCTCCTGGATTTAACTGGATGTGCTTTATGTTTGCAGGAGTCTTTTCATGCAGCAAAGATGGCCTACAGGCAGTTCAAAGGACGTGTAAGAGAGACTCTGTCTCTAGGTCACTCAGGGCCTGAGTCTCTTGAAGACACTGTCCTGGATTATATAGTTCGCCACGAGGATCTGTATGACGTTCAAGCCAGTGTCAATGTAAGTCAAGGGCAGTGGGGAAGTAACTTCTTGATCTATTTCAGTTGCAAAATAAATTTGGAGTATGTAAACTAGAAATGCACGGCAACCTGAAGATGAAAAATAGTTTAGCGCATGGATTTTATGTCTTGTAGACACTTATTTTCCAAAATAATATTGTGGTATGGCCCAGTAATCACTTGTTTTATTTGCCTCAATGTCTCTATATTTTTTGCAAGATACAGTGTAACTGTCTTATAAGATAAATGTAAGCTGAACTTCTAATTTTTCTTAAAGTCTGTGCTCTACTGAAAAACTGCATCTCCCTCCTAAGACTGAGGTCAATGATGTAGCTCTTACTTTATTTCTAAAATAACAGTACATTCTTTCTGAAGCTAATATTTTCCGGAATAGCCTAAAACATCATTCCCAGGAGTTTCTTATACTGATTTTTAAATGTAGAAAGCTGAGAGGTATATTTAAGAGGGATTTCCATACTTGCCTGTGAATAAAAGTGTTAGTGAGCTCAAATGACTCAGTTGTGTTTATTTTCAGGAAGTAATTCGCTCCATGAACGTCAACCCAAAGATTTCATTTCCACCAGAAATTGATTTCATTGTGATCAGCACTTTGATTCGAGAGTTGTGCCGTATGGCTTTTTCAATGCAGACACTCAGTCCTCCTCTTGATATTGCCTTTGGTATTGATGGAGAACTCTTCAGTGAAACCAAGTAAGAACTCTCTATTTTCAGTTGGATTCTTACTATAAAAAAAAATCTACTACTTTCCTAATTAATATAAAGGTTTAAGATGGATGCTAAACATTAAAGTGGGGCAAATATTCCTGGTCTGTAGTGAATTTGGTGTGTCTTTAAGGTTTATGATGGTGTATAAATTCCAGGATGTAGACCAGTGTTAACAGCTTTTTTTAATGAAGATCAGAGCAATTTTCCGGATAAACTTCAGTCTCTAGAGCATATTTAATTGATACATTAGGAGGAAAATTTTCATCAGCTTTCCTTTCCCTGGCAGTCTCTATCTGCCTCCAGTGTTTATAAAATGTGTTCATCTTTGTTCCTCCTTTGTGGCCTATTTTGTAAAAGCCAAGTTTACTGAGATCTGGCAGTTGGTGTCTGATACCAGGACCATCAACATGTGTGCTGTGACCTCCAGGCTGTGGCTGCTGTACAACATATGGATCTTAATGCATTCCCCATCTCTTCTGCTTTAGAGCTGAGCAAAAAGAAAAACTGCCTTTTAAAAATGGGGATTTTGTTTAAAAAATGCACACCACAACATCGTTTTTCTTTTTTGCATAGGGTCAGGGCTGGCTGCTTTGTTCTCTGGCAGAGAACTGTAGGATATTTCCATGCCTTCAAGAAAACTAGTAAGATTGATAGCTCAAAAAAGAATTGCTCTCAAAAGCAAGAAAAGCCACATCAATAAGGAGGTTTCTAATAATAATTTCAAATAGAATGGAACACAGATGTGGAAGAGCTTGAGAAGCCAAGGAGAAAAATAGAGAAGATAAAAGTAGCCCTTCAACAGGAGAGGGCAGAGTCATACATGAGTACTTACTGATCTTCTCCAGATACCGGGCATTTAGCTACTTGATACCCAAAGCTATTGGCTGAACTAAGAAGACAGCAGGGCTATGGGATAGTCTTGGGATGCTTTCTCCACCTACTTGATGTGTGTGGCCTTCAAAAAACAGGCTTTACGTGTGCTGCTGTGAGAGACATATACACATGTGTATCCATCTGTATAGATAAATATGGGGCATATATATGTGGAACTCAGGAATGGGGCAAGACTTGTAGAAATTCAAATAGTTCTGTCAGTTATGTGCAATGCCATTCTACAAAAGGGCTGGCCAAACCTCATCATACCCTATACCTTCCTCCATGCAAAGCTTCATGCCTCTGTTTACAACATTGTTTTATATAAATTGCATTTGAATATACATTAGTAAGGCATATACATTAGTATTTTTGCTTTTGCTATGTTATTGCTATTTTTTATTTCAGTTATTTGGTATTTATTTTGAGTTTGAATCCACAAAGCAGGCATGTATTATTCAGCCAATATTGCAGACTTAGGGAAGTAATATATATCTGGTATATTAATATAGACCTTCAAAATAATTTTCTAATATATATCTGGTATATTAATATATTAATATAGACCTTCAAAATAATTTTCTTAGCTAAAAGTCACTGCTCCATTATCAGTATCTGAGGATCTTGCTAATAAATTGCCTCTTCTGTCTCATAAGATTCTAGGATGCAACTTTATAGTTGAGAGGGAGTATTTCTGTAATTTTCTTTATAGTGGTCTTGTTTTAGCAAGATATTTCAGAAAGATGCCAATATGCTGCTTTGGAGATTTAATCTGTCAGTGGACCTGCCTTGAGTGGGGCTTATGCAGGAATAACTGGCCTTCTGAGGTGCGAGGTGGCTTTATTGCAGTGTCTCTCAGTATAAGTAGACATTATATTCTGCTAAATCTGTCTTACAAATGCATTTCTTTTACAGGTTCACTTAAAGGTTACTTATTTTTGTGATACAGAAATATTGTCAAGAAAGATGTTCATGAGCTGTAACTAGTATTCTGCTTTTTATCAGCACTGATGACTTGAAGCATCGTGTTTATCTTTTGGCACTTACATGCAGACATTTCTTGTGCTCTGCCTTTCAACAGGTACCATCGTAGTTTTGACTCTGATTTCACAGCTGCCTTGGTGGCCTATCACGTATGGCCTGCTCTGATGGAAAATGACATTGTCGTTGTGAAGGGAGAGGCAGTCACAAAAAGAGGAGCTCTGGTACGTACTTTTGTTAAGGAACACGTTAAGCGAAGTCATTGGATTTAAGCAGCGTTTTAAGATTTAAAAAGAGAAATTCTTGATTGTTCCCTGGATGGCTGGAGCTGTGTGTATCAAATGTAGTTATGTTTTAGTGCCCCATCCTGTATTTAGGATGAATAGTTCCATTTGCCTTCCTGTATTCATTATGCAGGTGTATGACACTTGGCAGAGCCTGTTCTAAGAACAAAGTTTGCTGTGTTTACTCGTTGTCCTCCAGCCTTGTCTCTGGCATGGCAAGTCTGCTTGTCGAGTCTGTCTTCCTTTTATGAAAGGACATTTATTAAGTTTGTCAAACTCTTCTCTCGTAGTGGTCTCGCAGAAGTAGAAGTAGAAGCAGAAGCCGCAGCCGCAGCCGTAGCACCAGTCCTCTTGTGTCTCATCGTGTAAGCCCCAGCTGAATGCTTGTAGTAGAAATAGCAACCAGTATTTTAAGCTCAGAATATAGGCAATGTTTTAAAAATGCTGATGTATATTTTAGCATTGGGAATAAATGCCTTTGCTGGTGAAGCTGAACTGACAGATAGTTATTGCCTGGTATAACTATCAGTGGAGATACTGTATGAGAAGTAAGTAGATAATAGTTAAATTCTTGGAAGTGTCAACTGTGGATCTCTCTCTGCTTTCCCCCTACTCCCCCTTGCTTCAGCATCCTTCTGAATAACTAATTGTATCATCTGGAAGTGCTTTAGTCATCTTGCAGTACGTGTACAGCATATGGTCCCTGCCTCCTGGAATTAGTAATCTGAATTTACCCTTTAATGCCTCAAAGGAGCAGAAAATCAGTGTAGGGTGGACAGGAGGGGAAGAACTGAGGTGGTACTAATAAATTATGTGAAACCTTAGCAGAGTTCTGCATGTGGTGCAGTTACACAGTATTTTAAATTATTTCTGTAAAAAATCATGTATATTTTTCTAATCATTAGCCCGTCTTATTAAATTGACGTAGGTGCCCTCAACTTAAAACGTGAATGTTGAAAATGTGAGAGGCTTCGGGTAAGACTCGCTTTTGTGTGTGTGTGTGTGTGTGCAGGGTGTGAAAGAAAAACTAGACAGTTGTTGAATTTGACTTGGTAGCAGTGGAACTGTGCCAATGGAGTAACACGTGTGGATTTTCTGAATGTTGCTGGGTCCCCGGGTGCCTTCCTGGGTGCAGTTCTTTAGCACACCTGAGTTCCCTTTTCTCTTTGCCTTGCAGCTGTCTCGAAGCCGCAGCCCTACACCAGTGAGGAGCGGAAGCCCAAGTAAGTGGGCATATTAGTTCATAATGACTCACGGTCTTCACACATTAAACCCTTGAACAACTGAGCAAAGGGATAAAATAACGAGCTGAAGGTATTTGACTCGAAAATACTTGCCCAAGCCTTATTTTTAAAATGAGTAGCCCCCCCCCCCCTTTTTTTTTTTTTCTGTGTATGGAAAAAGGCTGAAATTTCTGACTTGGAAGAGAGTTTATTTTCCACTCTACTCAGTCCACTCTCATGAGTTCTTTCTGCTGGTTGCCTTTATTTACTTATTGTTAAGTAAAACATGTTTTCTTCCCTGCACAAGAGACAGCTACCTGTGTGCCTGCTGGCTCTGTGCCTTTCAAAATCCAAAGAGATAGACAGCTAAGTGATAACGCTGAAGCGAGGGATTTCAAGCAGTGTGAACGCGTGCCCATCTCGAAGCCATGCCAATTTAGAGAATTAAAAAAAAAAAAAAGGTGTACTGAAATGTGTCTTTTTTCTTCAATAGGGCGTTAATTGAACACTCTCCTGTCATTCAGTACATCTGGATCCAACAACTTCACTGGTGCCTTTTCTCTTCAAGAATACCTCAAATCTCGCAATAATGTGAATGGCAATTGTCGCTCCTCCGCATGGAGTTTGTGTTCAGTGTGTTTTTTCGAATCATAGAAGGCTTATCTATAATTGTAGAAACTAATTCAACCCTTCTGGTTTAAAAAAAACCAAAAGTGCATGCATTAGAGGATCATACTCATTTGGCAAAATTTCAGAATTTGCAGAGCGGTGCATGCTGTAATCCTGCAGATGGAGATAGAATGGTTGCATCTAGAGTGTTTTCCATGGATACCAAATGATGCAGTTTATCTCGATAGGATGTTTAATATAACCCAAATGGTGAACCTTGCAGAATGTTGAAGTTAGCTCTTACTTGAAAACAATTTAATTAATTGGTGCTTATTTGCAATTTTAGAAAACAGCAATAATCTTAGGATGTGCCAGTCTCACACAGCCTCCTCTTAAATATGTCCTTGCGGTAAACTGAAATTTCTAACTACAGTGCAAAAGTTGCTCAGAACAATCATAAACTACCAATACTCCATCAACCCCCAGGGCTTTACTGACATTTATTTATGAAAACACAGGTGTGAGCTTTAGCAAAGCAGTAGTAGTCCTTGTTAAATCTCTTGTTACTTAGAAAGGAGTATTATAAAAAAACTGTAGTTTGGAACTTCAAGTGTTTTGAAAGTGTGCCACTGGTTATTTGTAGGCTTGAAATATTTGCTCGAGGTGGCCTGTTCGGTATCACTTTTCATGGGCTTTCATGCCAGACTGATAGATTAGTAATTCTTGTCAACACAGTGAAAAAAAAAACCTGTCCAGTTATCTCTTACTGTGGGCTTTTATTACATTTTAACTGTAAAAATTAGAGACAGAAAGAGATTTTAGTCTGGCACTTTAAATAGCTTGTTCCCCCTGAAAATGTTTATTTCAATATCAGCTTTTTTTTGTTTTCAAGAGAACTGATCCTGCCTTTCTCTCAGAACTTCATCTGCAGGGCCAGCTTTAAATACAAGCCACGCAAGGGACAGCTTGGGGCCTTGGGCTTTTACATAGAGACAGGATTTGTCATAACGGAGCTGACGTGTAATTCCTAACTCCACTGTCTCATTCCAGTCAGTACCTGATGATTCAAAGGTATGTAGTGTTTTTCCCAAATTCATCTCCACAATTTTGGGATATAAAAAATCAGGAGGAGGAAAAATTCCTTTCTGCCTCCTCTTTTAACCTGCCTACGCCCCAGAACATGACACTTCATTAGTACTGATGTAAAAACATGAGCAAAAATATTTTTATTAGTTCGGAAACTATTTAGTCCTTAAAATTAAGTCACAGGAGCAGATTTTGTGATCCCTTTCCAGGGATCTTGTGCAGATTTACACATGTGCTCTTTCTGTCATCTTCTTGTGTGGCTTAAGACTTTGGCACAGGTCTCTTTGGCACAGGATCCCGTTTCAGGCAGACTTTAGCATTAGTCCTCACGAGCCATGGATCAGCTGTGACTTGAGTTCTACAGATGTGTTTTCATTGGAGTTAGGCCCATTAGTAACCAACGAGAGCAGAATGAGATCCTGGACATTGGGTGTCATCCCCAGAGCCGCTCTGAATGAACTGAGGGGACACAAAGGCACATGCATGTTATGTGGTGTAGTTTCTTGTTATCTAAGGAAGTCACAAGAGAACACACAAAGCAGTGCTCCTTTGTGTAAGAGCCTAGTTGCTGATCACAGCTATGGATCTGGGCTTGAAGTGAAACTGCATATTTCTGCACTGATCTCATGACTAAAACCACCACAGTTCTGGAAAAAACGAGCACCTGCAACTTGTGTGGCAACAGAAGATATTTGGATATCCCAAAGTGTGGTTTTGAGCAGAAAAACAAAGACTTTCTCAAAATCTTGTAATTACCAAGGGCTAAGGAGATGTTTTTTAAAAAATTAGGTGTTGTGGGTTTGTTTTCTGCATGTAATTACCCAGACTTGTCTGTATTATGATTTTGAGTTGAAGCAAGTTTCCATACCAACTGTGGGAAAACAAGGACTACATGAAGGAAGTATGTTTTTCTTGACAAGTGTGAGAGGAAGGGTAGTGCCAGACTTGCACACACCTGTGATGCCACTGGGAATTAGTATTCCCAAAGAGCTAAAATCGCCATAAAAGTCAAATTCGTAGTGCTTGGGGGACCATCTCCTCTTACTCCCCCAGCAGGTACCTAGAGAACTAGTTACTCTCAAAGTAAAAGAGAAAACTAATGAAGTGACAGCCAATGACTTGTTTTGGTGGTGAGAAAGCAGCTTGAGGATTTTTTCTTTTTTTTTTTTTTTTTTATTGCATAATGTTTCAGAGCAGAGCAAGCCATTTTCAGCAAAATAGGAAGTCAATCCACAGCATGGCAACACTTAATCAGTTAAACAAACCTTACTCTACTCAATTGTACTCTGCAGCCTGTAGTCTTTTTATAGGATATATTGTTTTGTACTTGTTGCCTGCGCAGCTTATTTATGGGCAATTAAATCTCTAGGTCAGATAGCAGGTTGCTTTTTATGTCTATTTAGACACTAACAGCTCCTGTGCTGCTCTTTATCGCTATAACAACAGTGCAGAGAATGCATACCAATACAGATTATATGGAATTAACCAGCAAATGCAAAATAATTTATAAAAAGAGACTTCTGTAATTGCTTTTAAGACCCTATGAGAGAATGGATCATGAATGTGAAACAGATGACTTGACATTTTAATAAGAGTTTTTAAAACATTAAGAAAGATTTTTTTTTTTTAATTTTTTTTTTTTCTCCAAATCACAAGCCTGGATAATGCCACACTTGTAAATACAGCAAAGTAGAAACAGTAAAGGTTTATTCTAATAGGTGACAAATAAAAAAAAAAAAGCCAGTAAGGCTTCTATTACAAAATAGGTTTAGAACAGCATGACCATGATCAAAGTGTTAATACCAGGAAAAAGAGGGCTTGTTTTTGAGCTAATTTAAACTCTGTGCAGATGGACTGATGGAAAAGAGACTGCACAGGATGTTAAAAAGCACCACCTTTGGGCCAAGGTGTTCCTGTAGAACAGCACACGTTTGTGAGGGACTTTGTGATTGCTGGAGATTTTCTCCTCACCTCTTTGAAGGCCAATTAATGTCTGCCTCAGTTCAAAGGCTGTCCCAGATTCTGTCTAAATGTATTTTATCACCTGTTTCTGGGAAAATGCAATGTCATCAGAATATCTTCAGTCTTCCTTGTTCAATGTTTGCAGCTCAATAACATAAAGTGGACGCTCGTGCAGAGCTAGCAGATACCGAGGGCGAATGGCTCAGCTAAATTTGTGACTGCTCAATGAAGATTTAAATTCAGAAATGATCTTAGATTCTTCCAGCGTCCTGATAGGGTAAAGAAAGTTGGGAGCAGGAGGTTGGTGAAATCCTCCCATCAGTGAGCTGTGGTGCTGATTCAGTCTCGTAGGAGGCTCTGGAGATGAGAGGTAAGTTAAAGCAAAAATACACCACAGCCTGAAGAAATTGAATGTGAAGGCCAAAAATTATCAAGATGCTCCCTGGAAAACATGCCTGTACACCCTCCAGGATTTAAGCCTTTTAACTTTACTCTTTTAATATGTATATATATCATGTGTGTACTGCAAAAGTTTGTCACCCTGTACAAGTGCCATCAGAATTAAACAGTCTTTCAGCTTCATGTAGCCTTTGTCAGCAGTTTTTGATTGGTGTTAAGTGCACAATTGTCTTGTTACTGTAGCATTATATAGGCTGACTTTGTATTAAAGAAATTAAAATGTGCTCATTGTGGCTTGCAGCTACATTAGCATGTGCTCAGATTGAACATTTTACATTTCATGCCTGTATTGTAGTTCTTTTAGTCAGTCTTTCAGTCATTTCTTTCTTCGGCTAGCAAGTAGACTGAAGAAACCTACATTTCATTTTATGCAGGTTGTTTGATAGTTTAAAAACACACATGTAAGTAAATCTGTCACAGGCTTTCGCTGACACACAGGTGTGTTGTTTATGTGAAAGCTGTACCTTTCACTTGATAAACAGAGCACAGACATGGAGCACTTGGTGTCATTTTACTGTTGGCAGATGAAGGCATGAACACACACGAAGTGGGTGGTGTATTTGTACTTTCTTATGGATTTGAGAAGGCAACAGTTCTGCCTTGTGAAACCCCAGTTCTCAAAGCAATGTTACCTGCTTGAAAGTAAAATGTCAGCATAAAGATGCTGTTTACCACTGTTTGTATCACTTCCTGTGAAATTTTTTCTTCCTAAAGGGCTTTGGCCTCCATTCAAAGTTCTTTATAATTTTTTTTTTTCTTTTAAAACAAATAGAGATAATTTTAGGCTAATTCCTTCTCTTCACAGTACAGAATCATAGAATAGCTGGGGTTGGAAGGGACCTTTAAAGGCCACCTAGTCCAACCTCCCTGGAGTGACTAGGGACATCTTGAATTAGATGAGGTTGATCAGAGCCCATTCACGGAATCACATTCCAACCTGACCTTGAGTGTTTTCAGGGATGGGGCATCTACCACCTCTCTGGGAAACATGGGCCAGTGTTTCACCACCCTCAGTGTAAAAAAAATTTGTTCTATCTAGTCTAAATCTTCCCTCTTTTAGTTTAAAGCCATTACTCCTTGTCCTATTGCAACAGGTCCTACTTAAACATTTGTCCCTATCTTTCCTGTAGGCCCCCTTTAAGTACTGAAAGGCTGCAATAAGATCTTCCTGGAGCCTTCTCTTCTTCAGGCTGAACAACCCCAACTCTCTCAGCCTCTCCCTATAGGAGAGGTGTTCCAGTCCTCTTACAATTTTTGTGGCCTCCTCTGGATCCGCTCCAACCGGTCCATGTCTTTCCTGTGGTGAGGACTCCAGAGCGGAGTAGAGGGGCAGAGTAACCTCCCTTGTCCTGCTGGGCACGCTGCTTTTGATGCAGCCTATCAGGATGCAGTTGGATTTCTGGGCTGTGAGTGCACATTGCTGGCTCATGTCCAGCTTTTCACCCACCAGTATCCCCAAGTCTTTCTTGGCAGGTCTGCTCTCACCCCCTTCATCTTCCAGCCTGTATTGAAACCAGGGATTGCCCCAACCCAGGTGTAGGACCCAGAGCCCTTCTTTCTACTCTTTTAAGAAATGGGTGCAATGTTTCCCTTTTTCCAGTCCCCAGGGACTTCACTGACTGACATGACTTTTCAAATATCACAGAGATTGGCTTGGCAACTACATCAGCCAATTCCCTCCGGGCTCTGAGATGCATCTCATCAGGTCCCCTCATCGTGGACTCCTGTTTGTTCAGCTTCCTCAGGTGGTGACGGACCTGATCTCTTTCAGTGGGAGGGACTTTCTCCCCCAGTCCCTGTGGTGTGGTCTGTCTAGTCAAGAGGTGTGGGGAGAGAGGTTGCCAGTGAAGACTGAGGCCAAAAAGCTGTAGAGCACTAGCCGCATTCTTGTCCATCGTTACCAATTTGTCAGTGTTGTTCATGAGGGCAGTGTGTCTTCTTTGACCTTCCTTTTCTGACTGACATAACTGTAGAATCTCTTCTTATTATCCTTTGAGTCCCTTGCCAAGCTCAGCTCCAGTTGTGCCTTGGCCTTCCCAACCACATCCCTACACAACTGGGCAGTGTTTCTGTACTCTTCCCAGGACCCCTGTCCCTGTTTCTACTGTTTATGTGTCTCCTTGTTGTTCTTTAGTTTGTCAAGCAGGTCCCGACACAGCCGTGCTGGTCTCTTGCCCTGCTTTTCTGATTTCTTATGCCTGGGGATCAAGAGCTCTTGTACCCTATGGAAAGTGTCCTTAAAGATCTGACAGCTTTGTTGTGCTCCCTTGTCCCTGAGGAAGTTTGCTTTCCTAAAATTCAGGGTCCTGACTTTACTCTTCTCCCAAAAACTTCTTTTCTCTGTATATTTCCCTGTTTGCTAAAAGTATCTTTCCCTTTCTTGGCTTTCTTGGAAAAGCTCGGAGTCTTTTCTAGAGAGTGCCTGGTGCTGTGTCCATCTTTTATTTCCCCTCCTGTGCTGAACTCCCCAGAGCCCAGGGACCCCATGACTCTGCCCCACAGCAACATGAACCCCTGGCACCCACACCCCTGGCTCCACAGAGGGGCTGGGCAGGGGCTCACAGCCGGCCCTAGTCCCCCCGCCGCCAGGCTCTGTGATGCCATTATGGGGCACATTCCAGAGCCACCAGACATACAGGGATTCTGAGGGAGGGCAAGGATAAAGTGCTGTGAGCACCCCAGAGACCAGCACCTTCCACTACCTTGGGCTTTGAGGTGGGCAATAGCTTGCCTCCCATCGCGTACTCCTCCTCACCCAGGAAGAGGAAGATGGGTGCTGTGGCTTGTACCACCTTCAACGGGCTTTGCCTGGAAGGGAAACTCTGTGACGATGTGATCATCAGCGTGGATGGCATTGAATTCAATGCTCACAAGACGATCCTCCGGAGCTGCAGTCCGTACTTCAGGTGAATGCTTGAAACCGGAGGGGAGGGGGCCAAAGAGTATTTCCTGGTCTGTGCCACACGGCCTTGGTGTATCTCCAGCACTTCCCTCGGCCCTCAAACTCTGCTCCAGCAGTTCCCTGTAGTCCTGGTACCTGCCTGCACACCAGAATTCATCCACAACCTCAGATGCAGCAGCAGCAGCTCTGGAAGTGGTGCCTGACAAACCCCCAGATTTGCAGGTGCAGGGCTGGGAGCGTGGCCAGCCTGGCCAGCATGGCCTCCTGACAGGCAGGAGGTTTTCCTGCCCCACACACCAGGATTCTCTGGTGCTCTTGTTGAATCCAGGTGGCCACTTGCTCTGTGGTTCTCTGTCCACAGGTGGAGGCCGTGATGGCCAGCCTGGCCAGCCTGGCCTGTCTGCTGACAGGCAGGAGGCTTTCCTGCCCCACACACCAGGATTCTCTGGTGCTCTTGTTGAATCCAGGTGGCCACTTGCTCTGTGGTTCTCTGTCCACAGGTGGAGGCCGTGACTCCTTAGTCAAAAAACCAGCTGGTCAAACAGGAATTGATAAAACTCCAGGGCCTCCCAGCATGGCTGAAGCTGGTGCCCAAAGTGGTGTCTGGGGAAGGAGGCCCAGGGGAGGCCGGGTCAGGGTTGAAGGCAGCAAGGCTGCTTTCTTTCCCAACGCTGCTCTGTGTTTTCCAGGGCTTTGTTTTCCAGCACCTGGAGCAATGCCGAGAAGAAGGTCTATGAGATCCCTGGTGCTTCCCCGGAAACCCTGAGGCTCATTCTGGAGTTCGCCTACACCGGGACAGCACCGGTGACGGCTGACAATGTGGAAAGTTTGCTGATTGCAGCAGACCAGTTCAATGTCATGGGCCTCGTGGGACTGTGCTGCGCGTTCTTAGAATCCCAGCTATGCTTGGAAAACTGTGTGGGCATCTGGAGATTCACAAGCTATTACTACTGTCCTGACCTGCGAGAAGCAGCCCATGCGTTCATCCTCCAGCACTTTGAGGAGATGGCCCGGGTGTCCACCGAGTTCCTGGAGCTCTCCGTCTGTGAGCTGGAGCACATGCTGGAGAAGGATGGTGTCCACGTGAAAGAAGAGGCTGTGTTCGAGGCCCTTCTGAAATGGATTGCTCATGACCTGCAGAACAGGAGGCAGCACATTGTGTTCTTGCTGGGCAAGGAAGGGTGGAAGCGTGGACAGAAGGGATTTTTTTTCTTTAAATAAACCCAACATTACTGACTGCTGAGACTTTGCTTAAAGCTTTTAAAATAATTTGTTCACAAGGGTATGAATTTGTAGTTCCAATTCCCATTACTTAAATGTCACTCGTGCAAACCTGCAAGTCCCATTTCTATCAGTTTCATAGGATTTTCTTGCATTTCCTAGCAGGTGCTATTGACTAGCTCTTTGAAGAGCTGGAATTTTGGTTTCCTAAAAATTCAAGTCCAGACTTTACTCTTCCCCTGACCCATATATCTTGGCAAGGAAGGGTGGAAGCGTGGACAGAAGGGATTTTTTTTCTTTAAATAAACCCAACATTACTGACTGCTGAGACTTTGCTTAAAGCTTTTAAAATAATTTGTTCACAAGGGTATGAATTTGTAGTTCCAATTCCCATTACTTAAATGTCACTCGTGCAAACCTGCAAGTCCCATTTCTATCAGTTTCATAGGATTTTCTTGCATTTCCTAGCAGGTGCTATTGACTAGCTCTTTGAAGAGCTGGAATTTTGGTTTCCTAAAAATTCAAGTCCAGACTTTACTCTTCCCCTGACCCATATATCTTAGGCCTTTCAACTCCACCAGGGCCTGATCAGTGCAGCCCAGGCTGCTGCCAATCTTGATGTCACTGATGAGCTCATTTGTGCTGGTGACCAATAGGTCCAGTATCACCTCTCCTCTGGTGGGGCTGTCTGTGACCTGCTTAAGAAGTTTCTTCAGTGCACTCGGGGAGTCTCCTGGATTGCCTACAGCTCACCGTGCTTCTGTTTCAGGAGATGTTGGACTGGTTAAAAACCCCCAGCGGGAGGAGAACCTGTGAGGGCAATGTCTGCTGTAGCTGGAGTAGGACGCTTCGTCAGTAGGCTCCCCGTGATTGGGCAGCCTGTAGTAGACCCCAACCACAGCTCCCTTTGTTGCCTGGGTCTCTCATTCTTTCCCCTAGGCTTTCAACCTGCTCTTGGCTGTTCTTCAGAGACAGCTTTTCACATTCTACACATTTTGTAA